TAGGAAGCAAAGCTGGAGTTCAAACCCATGGCTGTGTGACTCCAAGACTTTCGCCATCCTGCTTCTGGTTAAGAAAGATTTGGAATTGTGGAACATATTTTAAAGCAGTGCTCAGAATGTAGGTGTTGGCACACATTCTCATATAATTTGTTTTATAATTATTTCAATAATGAAGTGAGCTATGCAGCTTCTAAAAAACTTGTTAATTATAAACTTCAGAGTAGTATACCTTCATAATAAAGTGTCTGTTTGGGCATAAATGGCATTTATCTAGAAGGCTTCTAGAAGCTGAACTTTTGTTTGCCTGGTAGATTTGGGGAGCTCCAGCCTTTCTGAAAGGTGTCCCCGTGAATTTCCCTAGTCAGAAGCTACTTTTCCTCCCTCTGTCATCCCGTAGTTAAAGTCATGGTATATATCACTTTTATCCTTTGTAGTATTAGGTTTAATTATGTCCTGTCTCTACTGCTACACCACAAACCTCTTAAGGGCAAGAAGAGTGTTTATCAATGAGTAACAAAAATAATGTACTTTTGCTCTCTTGGTGCTTTGAGCAGTGAGTATTTTTGAATGACCAAATAAATAATTGTATCCATGTGGAGATGTTCTGAAGAGAGAAAATGAGATTATCATGTTAAAGACTGGTTATTTTATTTTATGCCATGGAATTTAGTCATAAGCCATTTCAAGATGGAGTGGGCATAGAAATCATCCAAGTATAAACCCTCCCTGATAGATTAGGAAATGGAGGACTGAATCATTAAGGTCTTATAGTTACTTACTTAGTGGCTCCATGTTGGCACTTTCATCTCAAAAATGGTCAAAACTAAGGGGCTGGCCTGGTGGCATAGTGGTTAAGTGCGCATGCTCTGCTCCAGCAGCCTGTGGGTTCACAGATTCAGATCCCGGGCGCACACCGATGCACCAAGCTATGCTGTGGCGGCATCCCACATAAAGTAGAGGAAGATGGGCACCGATGTTAGCCCAGGGCCAGTCTTCCTCAGCAAAAAGAGGAGGATTGGCAACAGATGTTAGCTCAGGGCTGATCTTCCTCACAAAATAAATAAATAAGTAAAATAAAATAAAAAATGGTCAAAACTAAGCCTGATATCATTAGCTTCATGTGCCGTCACTGCAAAAATCACAGTCTGGTGTTGGCATTGCCAGGACCAGTGAAAATATACTCAGAGCTACTTTTCCGATTCTAATTGTTGACTTCCACTTCTTATGGTTGCCAAAGAATTATGAGTTTAGAGAATATATTTTTTTCTATTTTACTATATTGGATTTTTATAGCAGCTAAAAAATCATTGTATTGTCTGGGGCCACCTGGGAACTTACGTCATCATGAGATGGCAGTGACTAAGTGTGAGGACTCTGGACTCTGGAACCTGACTTCCTGTGTTAACATTTCAGCTCCTCGACTTACTAGCTGTGTGTGACCTTGGGCAAGTTACTAAACTTCTGTGCCTCTGCTTTCTTATCTGTAAGCTGAGATTGAGTAATAATACTGCATAGAATTGTTAAGATAAACTAGTTCATTCATGTTTAGGGCTTTTCTGGAACATTGGAAATGGTCAATAAATGTTAGCTGTTATGATGATGATCATGGAATACCAAATAGCTTGACCTACCTTGATCCAATCATTATTTTCCTTTTATGCTTGAGGAGAACATTTATAGAAATTCTCCCTGAGATTTCATAATCAAGACGATGAAGGAGATAAAATTTCATTGGGATCTGGAAGGTGTGGATATGTAAACATTGGCTACAGTCCAGATAGAGGAAATAGTATGAGTAAACTCTGTTGGGGAGAAACCTGGGGTTATCCCAGGAACAGTGAGGAATTCAGTTTAACTGCAGCATAAGGTACTCCCTGGGAAGAAGTGGGAGATTCGAGGAGAATAGAGATTTGGGTTTAGCCCCTGGAGGCAGTGAGATGGCAGGCCAAGGAGTCTGGATTGAGGGCCTGTGAGTACCGAAATCCGTTTGACAGCAAAGTGGAGAGAGGAAGGATTAGAGAGTGGGATTGAGGTAAGGAGACCAGTTGGAAGGCTATTGAATTAGTAGGAATAAAGAAGAGGAGGATGTGACATTGATAACCCTTTGAAATTGATGCAGAGGGTAGGTGGGTCTCAAGCATAGTTAAGTGCCCTTAATAGAAATAGGAAACTCTGGGGCTGGCATAGTGGTTTAAGTTGAGCGTGCTCCACTTCGGTGGCCTAGGTTCAGTTCCCTGGCCACAGACCTGCACCACTCATCAGCCATGGTGTGGTGGCAACCCACATACAAAATAGAGAAAGATTGGCACAGATGTTAGCTCAGGGCCAATCTTCCTCAGTGTAAAGGAAAAAAAGAAAAAGAAATAGGGAACTCTGGAGTAGGGGTGGGTTTGGGATAGAGGAATATGATTTCAGTTTTGTGAACCTCGGTTTGAGGTACAGATGGGACAACCCAAGAGAACTGCCTCTTGGATAGAAATTCAGAACTGGAATGTAGGCAAAGTGTTCAGTATTACAGATAAAATTCTGAGAGTCATTTCCAGATATGTGATAGTGGTAAAGACTTGAGAATATATGAGATTCCCTCAGACCAGGCCTTGTAGACTCAAAAGAAACCCCACTTTCTTTGGATAGAGATAGCTAAGGCATGAAGTGGTAAACATGGTACCATAAAATGCTGGAGGGTAGGAATTCAGTTAAGCTGCTATGTGTGAGTCAGAGCTCTCATCTCATTTCCTTCAGTGCTGTCCAGTTTCTAAGCCTTTTCATGAACCAAAGGAAGAACTTCTTATTTCCCTTTTCCCCATCACATAGTGATGGGCAATAACTCGCAAGATCCCTTTAATACTAGGGAGAGAATTAGGCTCAAATTATTGAATTTAAAAATGGCATTAAAAATTTACATATTTTATATTACAAAGTTAGAAGAGACTCTGAAGACATAAATTTAAATTTAAAAAATTTCAAGACCACACTGTTTTTATAACCCTTCATTTTGTATGTGGTTTTCGGTGGGTATAAAAATACTCAGTGGGTGTGTGGGTGGTTTCTCGTGTTTTGGAAATGGTGAGAATATGAGATGCTGAGCACTGGGTTCTGGGATGAGAGCTATAATTACTAACTCTGCTTCTTTCCCAGGATTGGCTCATGGGTGGCTATCTGAATCTAAAAATCCAACAATCCAGAGTCCAGAGCAATAAACCACTCTTCCCTCCCCACCGGAAATTAAAAGAATTATTGTGGCAGAGAGGAGAGGGAATGTAGGATGATGGTTCTTCCTTGCTTTGTCTCCTTTCATGCCTTTCACTGACTGTTGAAGTCAGGGATGCGGCTGAAATGCCGGCTGCTGTGATGGCTTCTCCTAGCCTGATACACAACAGCCACCGCACAGCTGTGATAGAAAGAGTTCTAAATATAACCCAAACTCATTTCAGATTCTCTTCCCCCAAGTCTTGACGGATGTGGTAAAATACCCTAAAAGTACCTGTTGTCTGAAGCTTTGAGGTATCTGAAGAGGAAGGGGCAGGTAGTAGAATTAGGGCTGTGTGTTGGTGTTGGGAGGCCTGGCCAGCTACCAGGACTGCTGCCCACTGGGGTCCGCCCCCGAGGCTGTTTGATGAGCTGTCGACCATGCCATTCTGTTCAAGGATAAGTGCCTACTCTTGAGTCTCAAATTCACTATTGGCAGGTTTCAAGGAAGTTATTCATAGACGAGGCATCTGTTCTCTGTCCCATTGACCTCAAACCTGCAGCTGCCACCATAGTATTCAAGCAGTGTGGTGGTTTTTAGTTTTATTTCACAGAATCAGAATTTTAGAGCTGGCAAGGACCTCAGACATTATATTGTTCATAAAGCATTCCATTAAAATCTCTACATTTAGGGAGTCACATTTCTCTGCCTATATAGTGACCATAGCATAGCAATTTGGAAATGGAGTCTCAGTCCTTGATTATTAAAAGAAAAAACTCTCATCATGATGTAACCCAAATAGGAGGATAATGAAAACCAGTCTTTTTAAAAAATATTGACTAAGTGATCCTGTGCAAAGCTTTTTCTTTTTTATTAAAAAATGGAAATTTTTTTCACCAAACTTGAGTATTTTGAATATAAATTTCATTGTCAACACAGCCAGAATACCAGGAGTCTTGTTTTCAAAAAGGCTTTCAGTATCTCGTTTCTGGAATCCCAAACGATAGCTGTGGTATTGTCATTAAAAGACTATATAGCTAACCTCTGTTTTCCTGGGAAAGAAAGGTTTCACAGATTACCTCCAACACTCATGGGATGTGTTCAAAGTCGTGCAGCACCATCTTATAAAACAGCATAAATCACCCAACTTTTTAAAGATGTGATAATCACTTTACCTCAGTCTCCTTCAGTAAACTCGGAGAAGGCCCAGTGAGTGCAGAGCCTGTGCTAGGAGCTGTGTAGGGGAGAGCAGAGAAGCCCCAAGAAGCAGTACAGCTAATGGAGGAGATGGGAGCAATTCATGTGCTGAATAGTTTTAAATATGTTGCATTTATGGTGGTTACAGAATTTCCATAATTGTATCAAATATGTATCTTCCACTGTGAGCTTCTCAAAACTTTTTCATGTATCTGGAAGAGTGTTACTTATTTTTTACTCTGGGTTGAAAGTTTTTCTTGAGTGCTGGAAGCTATCAAAATTGTTGGAGTTTTTTATGTCGCTTAATGCATGTCTGAAATCACCACCTCTGGAAGCTCAATTTTCCCTGGATCAGTACACTTGTACCGGGGAATGAGATACCTTGGGAGATGGTCTTGAGAAGTCAAGGTGATTTTGTGGAAAGACCATGGCTTTGGAGTTGTTGAGTACTTTCAGTTGTGTAGAAGCCAAGGGAGGCCATGGGTACAGAGGGAATCTCCTTTTTCTGTGCATATCAGGAAGAGAGGAAGGAGAGGGCAATGTCTGTAACGTGTGGTACCCAGGTGACATAGTTCCTGGATTCTCAAACATTTCCCCTCTGAAATTCCAGAACGAAGAGCTTCGAAACTTGTCCCTTTCTGGCCATGTTGGATTTGACAGTCTCCCTGACCAGCTGGTCAACAAGTCTACTTCTCAAGGATTCTGTTTCAACATCCTGTGTGTTGGTAAGTGACTTATCACTTGCTGCCGAGCAAGGAGTCTGACCCTGAGGTGTTGGCAGGTGACTGTCAGAGGGGCACATTTCAGGGAAATAAGGGGAATGATATTTTTACTCTTTTTTTCGTGAGTAAAGCAGGGCAATAATACCCACTCTATACTGTCACACAGTTACAAAGATTGAGACTTGTATTTGGGTAAATGTTTTGTAAGCTTTGTGATGTTACTCAAACTGTTATTTTTAATTGTGTCACATAGTCAAGCAAGTGGTCAGTTTAATACTGTTATTAAAACACTTATTTTAATTTTTGGTGAGAGGAGGGACATAGACCCTAACTAGACTACAGGAAGTTGAAAGAAGGAACTGAGATGTACACACATTAGTAAGATCATTCAAACGCATTTTAAGAATTTGTTTCCAGAGCCTCTGACTACAGTGCGTTGGTAACCTCCATTAAAGTCTTTTTCAAGATATGCTACCTAAAATTACCTGAAATTACTCTACTTTAATAAACTTATAATGTTTAAAATTTTTGCTTTTAGAGCAAAATGCAATTTAAAATTCTGTTTTATATTTGAAATAAATTTTCTGCCTGAATTATCAAATTAAACCTTTGTCCTTAAATTGGAATCTAAAATTGACCTCAGTGTATTCCTGGTAGATAAATGGAAAAGGCCAAAGAGATCTGATTTATCTGCATCCTCGGTATGTTTTATTTGTATCCTTTCGATGTTATACGTTAGCCTAGGCCTCTGACCTTGATATTTTTCTGCTTCTCTCTAGCCGTATCCTTTTTAAATTAAGGGGAGGAAAGCAGAAAAGGAGGTGGGAAAAAAAGAGGAAAATAGAAATATAAATCTTCTGTTGGTTTGAAGCAGAAATGTCCCTGGAACGTTATGGATAATGGCCTTTCCTTCACCCTCCCTGTCACTCCTGATGAGTGACCTGGCTATGCAGCAGTGAAGTGGTTGGGCTGCATTGTTTTGTTGCCATTATCCTCCGGGCATATACTTCTGAGACAGACCAAAAGGAATTCTATACATACCCAAGTGGACTATCCTTCCCCTAAGCTTGGCAGAATGTACCAGACTTAATTCTCTTTTCCAAGTAAAATAAAGTGAATTTAGAAAAGGTGTGTGTTTAATGTAAGAACCAATCTATTTTTTTTTTTTTTTTTTGGTGAGGAAGATTAGCCCTGAGCTAACATCTGTCGCCAATCCTCCTCTTTTTGCTGAGGAAGACTGGCCCTGGGCTAACATCCGTGCCCATCTTCCTCTACTTTATATGGGACGCTGCCACAGCATGGCTTGACAAGCAGTACATCGGTGCGCGCCGGGGATCCAAACCCCGGGCCGCTGCAGCAGAGTGTGTGCACTTAACCACTATGCCACTGAGCTGGCCCCAAGAAGCACTATTTTTTAATTTGTTAGTTATTGGGTGGAGAGGCAGATATTTTCCTTTTCCTTTTCCTTTTTTTTTTTTTTTTGTTGAGGAAGATTGGCCCTGGGCTAAGTCCCTTGCCAATCTTCCTCTTTTGCTTGAGGGAGACTGTCCCTGAGCTAATATCCAAGGCAGTCTTCCTCTATTTTGTATGTGGGACGCTGCCACAGCATGACTTGATGAGCAGTGTGTAGGTCCCTGCCCAGGATCTGAACCTGTGAACCCCGGGCTGCCGAAGCAGAGTGTGCAAATTTAACCACTACACCACTGGGCCAGCCCCTGGATATTTTCCTTTTTGAAAAACTTTTTGAGGAACATATTGAATGTAGCCTCTGCACTGGGCGTTCATTAGTAGAGAGCCACAGCTGACTCCACACTAGACCAGCTTGCTCTCTGGCATTATGTCTTAAGCACTGGGTAAGAAAATGACTGGAGAGAAACTTGCCCTAAGCAGCCAGCTCTCATGCTTTTCCCTTTTCCCTACATGAAGCCATTTAAAATTCAGCAGGGGACCTCCTGAATGGCAGCTAGTTCTACCAAGTGGCATAAATGAGTTGTCTTTTCTCTTACATAAATGCTCATTACAGAGCAGGGCAATTCTTCATTAGCATAGCAATTTGTTGGCAATTTGTTGATTTTCTATTGCTAAATTGTAGGCCAATTACTATTCTGGTTTCTCTTCCCTGCTTCCCCCAGCCCTGTCTCTGAAATTAGCTTCAAGAATACGCGTGAGAGTTATGATGTGCCAGCCTCTGCAAGTCGGGTAGAGCCTTCCGAGAGATTGGGCTTGCTGGAAGGACCTGGTTTGACAGGGTGTGTGGTGTGCAGTGCGATGTGTTGGCTCATGGGCTGACCCCTTGTGTTAAATAACATAATTATGATGCTAGTTGGAATTCCTTGCAAGCCACATTCATGCTGCCCTGTTGGATTTGTAAAGCAGCTGCTATTCTGACTCTCCTGGATGGGTGATAATACCTATGATTCTGGTTCCATTCTTAAACATGTTTAAAATTAGTTTTTCAAACTAATTAAAATAATACATTTGTTAAAAAAAAATTATAACCCCCCCACCCCTTTTCTTTTCCCACATAATTTCCATGGAATCCTTCCAGAAACTTTCTACATCTTTCTGTACTTGGAAGTTATTTTTGGTGGCTTGAAACAGTGCCAATTTATTATCTTACAGTTCTGTAGAAGTCCCACATGTGTCTCACCAGGCTAAAGTCAAGGCATCCGCAGGGCTGTATTCCTTCATGGAACCTCTAGGGGAGAATCCATTTCCTTGCCTTTTCCAGCATCTAGAGGCTGTCTGCATTTCTTAGCTCTTGGACCCTTTTCTCCATCTTCAAAGCCAGCAATGTTGCATCTCTCTCTGACTGTTTTTATATTAGGAAAATTTCCACAGAGTAATTGCAGAAATCCGGTTTAAACTCAGTTAAGACTCTTCCTCAACCCCAAAACACACTAAAAAGGTAATATAGTGAATCATGTAATTAAGAACAACTGGCTCTAGGGATTCAAAGAATATTTTCACGGCTCTGTCTCTGGTTCGTGATCCTGCTTGCTCCTGCTTGGCTTCATGTTCGGGCTTTTTCTTCACAGAGGTAGTATGGCCTCCAGCAGTGTTGCCAGCTTAGCACCTCCCAGAGGAAAGAACAAGCCATTCCTGACAAGTCTCACTGAATGGTCACAGGATGTCTCTGACTGACCAGGCCTGAGTCGTATACCCGCTCAGGGTAGGAGATGGGGTTAGTCCACCCCAAAACATGAGAGGTTCCCTATAGGAAAGACAACATGATCAGAAAGGAGGTTGGGCGTAGGAGAGACACACGCTGGACAGATAGAAACTCCCTCACAGTTACATAAGTACTTTTTTTGTTTTGGTTTTACGCAAATGAGATCATGCTGTACATATTCTTCTACATTTTTTTTTTTAACTCCACAGTAAGTCCTGGCTATCCTTCCATGCCAGTATATCTAGCTGTCCAGGGTCTTCTCTATAACCCCTTGGAGCTGTTTGGTTGGAGCCAGCATTAGCTCTTTGGGAGACAGGGATGTCAGCATTAAGTATTCAGCATACTTATCCTCAGAGGGTAGAGCACATCAAATCCGTTTACCACAAATATTTTACAGCAAAATATCTGTATTAGAAAACAACTCTCCCTGTCACTTAATGGTCCATCTATTTTTAAAGCAAGAGTCTATGAAAAAGCATTCTAGTTGATCAAAATATTTTGACAGCCACTTAGAGGAGTAGGTGTCATATTTAACTTGAGTATCCATGATATTTTCTTTTCTCCTTGACATCCTACTGTCCGTTTGTATTTATTTTTACGCAGTATGCATGTGTGTAGTGTTTAGAGCATCATTACTTTATTTTCATGTGATAAATATGGAAAGGAATAGAGGATTTGAAAAAAAGAGTCATGATCCTAGTAAGGAAACTGATGATGTTTATCAAAAAGGTCTTAGAATCATAATTTTGTTTTGTGGCAAGAGCCTGTAGGTTGCAAACAGAGGAAACAAACCAGGGCAGAAACCAATCCTGGCATGAGCTTAGTCTAGTTTTAGAGGCACTGAATTAAATGTCTGGTATTAGAACTCATCTCTGTTGAGTCCTGGAAAGAAAGGTAATAAAAGAGAGGGAGATTAGTGTTCACTTAACTGGGAAGAGAATTCTTTTTTTTTTTGTGAGGAAGATCAGCCCTGAGCTATCATCTGCCAATCCTCTTCTTTTTGCTGAGGAAGACTGGCCCTGGGCTAACATCCGTGCCCATCTTCCTCCACTTTATATGGGACGCTGCCACAGCATGGCTTGACAAGCGGTGCGTCGGTGTGCGCCTGGGATCCAAACCCCGGCCCGCTGCAACGGAGCGCGCACACTTAACCGCTACGCCACTGGGCCGGCCCCAAGGAAGAGAATTCTTGATGCTAAATTGGGAACCAGAACACCCAGGAGTTAGTCCCTCATTCTCCATCTTGCTTATGACACACTAAATCACCCCCAAAGCTGCACTGTAGTTTAAATAAAGACTTCTTTTTCTTACCCATGCTCTATTTTTCCAGAGAATCTAAATTAGTATTCAGCCTTTCTTCACAATTTTAAATTTATATATCTTTCTCATTCGTTTTCCAAAATGACACTAGCTCTATGAGAAACTTCAGCATTGATCCAGCAGTATGTCAATTTTGTGCATATACAAAGATGGATAAAATACTGCAACATCCCTGCTTTTGAAGAGGAATCAATTCAATAGGGTCAAAGTAAATTAATAATACATTTGGAAAGTAGAAATTTTTTAAAATAATTTAACCATAAGTGTTTTGAGGGGATGACAGAAGAGGAAGAGAAAACAGATAAGTTTAAGATCATTTTAGCCAAGGCTATAGTGTCAACATAAACTTTTGAAAGTTTACAATCAAATCTTAAACATTTTTATTCCATCCATCTTGCTTTTCCAGGGAAAGATATGAAGTGGTTTACAGAGTGAAATCAATGAGTAAATGAATAAAGGTAAAATTAACCACAGAAAATAAAATGAAACCAGGGATTGAGTCAGAACTCAAGCCATCAGGCCAGCCTGTAGCAATTAATTCCATCAGGAATACATTTGTCTCTCAGCCGTGGTGAGAGCATGGGGGAAATCCATTCATTCAAGAGATATTTACTGAGCACATATTATGTGCCAAACACAAGGTAAAATTCTAACAATGACAGATTTATAGTATCTATAAAGCAAAAACAAAATAGTTGCTGCAAATGAAACATGGTTTCATCTGGAAAATTTTCAGAAAAGAGATGGTGGATGTCATTGAATCTCAGTCTAGATTCCTGAGCATCCCCTGATCAGTGCAGTCGATCCATGAATGCCAAGTGTCACATGCTGCTCTTTCAAGTCCCTCATGCAGGCTGGTGGTATCAGCCAAAGCATGTTTTGTTAAAGGCAATTCTATGAGGAGTTAAAACAACAGAGCCTAGGGACATAGTTTTCTGATTATCTGGCTCCATCCAAGAATAAAATCTAGAATATTTAGGGGAGGCAGACAGACCTTCTTGCACAGTTACTTGGATAATTATTCAAGTAGCCAGTCTTGGCAATCAGAGTAAAAGATGCTGAATCATAGATCAACTATTTGCTCAGTCTACACCTAACCTTCTAATTAATAATACAGTCATTCTGGGTTTTTGTTGTTGTTGTTTTTAATGTCCAACATAAAGCTTGTGGATTACAGAAGCCTGAGAATAGAATGGAAGAGGTAGGACTGCTTCCCACTGTGATGTGGGTGTCATGTTCACTGGCATTGGCAGGAGCAGGAACAACAGAAGCCACAGATAGTGCTTCAAGAGTAAATCTCTAATTACTCTAACACCTGAGTCTTCAGGCAGATGAGTTTGTAACGGAATAAAGAACAAACTCTGAAAAATCTACCAAAGTGGCACATCTCAGTATAAATTATCACCATGATCATTTTTCTTTTCAATTAACTTTTAATAAATGCCTACTCTGTGCCAGATACTCTGCTGGGGAGTTCTGAAGTGCTTCAAAGTTGGTGTTATTCATTAATTTTCTCAAAATATTGTTATGGTTGTTTGGTTGGAATTGGAACCTATGCTTAGTAGGCTTCCATTTACTCAATTAGAAAGAAGCCTTTTTGCTCTTGTGGGTCCTCAAAAGTTAGAAAATGCCCTGCTGTCTGAGGCTAGAGAGAGGCCTCAAAAACTAATGCATTGGAAAGCTCCCCTAGTTCTCTAATTCCTTTTATTCCAAAAGCTGTCATTTCTTAGTGAACTGCTTTGGTGAATCACACTGCTGCTAGAGTAGCGTGTCCAATTACAGCTCTTAAAAGCACAGAGCATAGAAATGGAAAGCAGAGCACTCCAAAATTTAGAGGAACAGTGGTTTTCCCAACCCATTGATTAACCCTCTGCTGTAAGTAGGGCCTAGAATGCTAATTGTTCGTAATTTCCACCTTAATGTAAATGATAATTAAAATTACCTTACCTTAAAAAAAAAGCATAGTGTTCCTGATTCATATGTGCTTAACTAAATCTCAACCTTGTAAAATGGGATGGTCATTTCGGCCCTGTCCAGGTAACCTAGAATTCTTGCCCTGTAACTGGAAGTCTTTGTTGCTGTTCTTAGGGAAAGAGATGAAAGTTAAATGGGTCACTTTCTATTGAGAGACCCTTTAACCCTATGAAGAGATCTATATAAGGTGGTTCTGCTGTGGTCCCTTTGTCCATGTTCTGAAAAATAGGTAAATCCTGAAAAGAAGTTTGCTGCTCTTGAGAAAGTTACACATGTAGCAGGTACTTACAATGACCCCAGAACCTTCAGTATTGAATTGCCTACCAGATTCTAAGTATCTTAAGAGTGAGAACTCGGTTTTGTTTCTGTATCCATTAAATAGTAACTTTGTTTTGCTCAAAGTTATTTTGTTGAGCCATGAATCATGGATATGAGCTTATTGAGCTCCATCACGTTAGGGAGCAGAGACTAGTGTAGATTGATGGATCTTTTTTGTAAGAATATTCAGGAAACAGTCTCAGCCACTACTCGGCCAGACTTCATGGAGATCTGGGATGACATTCGGGATATTATGGAATTCAAGCCATGCCAGTTGTCTGTATTCACCATTTTATCCCCAGCACCTATGCTTGTTACATAGTAAATCCTGAAGTATAATTAATGAATAAATTTCTGATACTAAACTCTACTGTATCTGTCTGCTCTCTTTCTTCTATATTCCCAGCTAATGATCTGTCAACAACATGTCTTCTGTTTACTTACAGCCTCTGCTGCCTCATGACTTCTGCTTATTCACTTCTCTCCATCTTTTCTTTTTCATGCCATTGCCTTGTGTGCGGATTGTATATCTCTCACTTATATTCCCAAAGAGAAAAGCTCTGATTGTGTAGACAGGGCGCTGTCCAGTATGGAGCACTCTCTCAGAGCATAATGATCAGGCTTAAATGGGTGCCTTTGGTCAGGGGGCTAGCCCTGGTCCAGTTACCGGGGTCACTAGCAAGGTCACAGGGAATAAAGTATGGTCTTGCTCATAAGAGAAATGTAATTATGGCAGACACTTAGAATATCGTTCCCATAATCATAAATTAGACTCTGGTTGGTGTTCAGTCATGTTCCAGGTCAGATTCTAAGCTATAGGAGAACACCATTTCAGGCTAGTTCATTGTTGAATTCCCAGAACTTGGCACAGAGCTTGGTATACAATAGGCACTGGAAAAATACTGGCTGAACGAAGCTGATGAAGGAGGACATTCTTTGACCTTAGCTGTATCAGAGGCCCCATGGGAAAGGTTAAAGAGTAGGGCAAAGATCCTTGAACAGCTTTTGTCCTGTAAGTGAATCATTGTAGTCCGTGGCAAACCACATAAGGCTTCTAATTAGAGAAAGCTCAGATCCAGAAAGACTCCAACCTGCTCTACTTTTGCATGATGTTGGAGAGCAGTGAGCAACACAGAACTTCTAATTAGGAGGTGGGTTTTGTCATTACACTGGGAGAGTTGCCCTAAGGCAACAAATCCTAGAACTCTTCTTTTTCCCATGGAATTGTTACCATCCTAAAAGTCATTATAGCAATCCTGTAGAAACGGAACTGTTCCTGGGAACATCATGGGATTGGGATTTGTTGAAAGGGCTGCAGCACGTTGGTGTATTTAAATTGAGCTAGAAGTCTAATTGGGAAATTTTCCAGATTTAAAAAAAAGGCATTCCTTTAGATAATATTTGTTGATTTCTACCTCCCTCTTTCCACCATCACACACTCAACCACCACTTCTACCACCACCACTGGTGACAAGGGTCTTTCTCATTGCCAACTATTTTTGACTCAACAAAGAATTAGTGTTAAGAGAAAAATGTTGTTGGTCTTATTTCAAAGGTCAAGCCAACGTTCTCCATGGCTCCACATTTGGGTCTTACCATTTGATGGGTGTAGTGGTGCCAGTACCTGCCACTCTGCTTTGCATATCTTAGGGCCCCAATAAATACTTCCTGACTTGAATTATTGATGTGAATTAATAAGGCCGTTGTTGTGGGTCATTTAATATCATTCAGTTTCATTGTCGCAGACGTCACCCTGAAACTGGGAAAACTAACAAGTGTTTGCCATCTTGACTCCAGCTGAGTAGGAAAATAAAAATGGAGATAATATAGAGAATTCTCACAGACTCATAGCCATAACTGGAAAATATTAGGTGGTTGGTTTTCTCTGTAATAGTGAAGTCAGGATGCTGTGTTGGTTGAGTGTAGGTGTTAGAACCCTGGCTTTGCCACTTAACAATGTGACTTAAGGCAAGTTACTTAAACCTTCTCTAAGCCTTAGTGCCCTATCTGTAAGAGGGAGGAAACAATAGTACCTGTTTTACAGGGGCTAGTAATAGGGTTTAAATGAGATGAGGCATTGGAAGCTCTTGCCACAGGTGTGGCGCAAAGTAAGCACTCTTTATTATTTATTACTTTATTACTTTATTATTTATTATTATTTAGTAAGCACTATTTATTACTTTAGCTGCATTTATTATTATTGCTGTTATTGTCAAGTGTTGTTTTGAAAAATGTAATTCTTTTCGACAGCATTAGATGGTATCAGATAATTCGATATAAATGGAATCAGTTTCTTTCTCCCCTAGTAACAGAAACTCAGCAATTTTTTTTTTTTGCTTGAGGAAGATTGGCCCTGAGCTAACATCTGTGCCAGTCTTCCTCTACTTTATATGTGGGATGCTGCCACAGCACAGCTGGTGAATGGTTGTAGGTCTGCACCCAGGATTTGAACTCATGAACCCTGGCCACGGAAGTGGAGTGTGCCAAACTTAACCACTATGCCACCAGGCCGGTCCCTATAGTATTTTTGTTAAAGTAATATAGTTTTACACACCAACCTTTAGGAGAGGAAGAGATACAGTTTCTGTCTTTGTAATGTACAAACTGACCACAGGCAACCTTACAGGTTCTGTTTCTCTCTCCAGAGGTAAAGAAGAGCATCTTGGTGTGTAAGTTCAAGATCTTTTCTGCTACATGGTTTCTGAAATTCATTCGGGCATTTCTAGGGAGGTGTTCCATAGATCATACATGGAAGGAAGAACTGTCTTTTTGTAGTGGGATTTCTGGTGATACTGACTTTTTAAAAAATTTTATGAATGTGATTAGGAAAAACTCCTGATGAAGTGAACTAATATCTGAGAGACATTGACACATTCTCTGATGTCTCCCTTGTGGTTGTGTAGGTGAGACAGGCATTGGCAAATCCACGTTAATGGACACTTTATTCAACACCAAATTTGAAAGTGACCCAGCTACTCACAATGAACCAGGTGTCCGGTTAAAAGCCAGAAGTTATGAGCTTCAGGAAAGCAATGTACGGCTGAAGTTAACCATCGTTGACACCGTGGGATTTGGAGACCAGATAAATAAAGATGACAGGTACGTCTTGGGATTTGTGGGGATATAAATGGATGAGGAGATAGCAGGACCCACCCCGGGGAAATACCAAGGCTAACTATTCACTAGTTCTGGGACTTGGGCTTCTATCACCTGAAAGATATGGCATTCTTGTCCTCTGAGAAATTTTCTTGGAATGTTCTTCCTTGAGGTCAGAATCAGCTCTTGTAATTGATTCATATAAGTATAAGCAGAAAATAGAGTTGTTAGAAGGAAGAGGCTAGCTTGTGGCATTTTTCCAGGAGCGTCATAGAACCAGGTTCGGGGGCTTTCCCACCAGGAAAAGCAATCTAGAGAAACACCCACCAGCCTACAGGACAGTTAGCAGAAACCCCTGCACCAGCCACCTTATACAGCTTGGCAGCTGTGATGCTAGGGAGAGGTCTCTAGAACCTCCACCAGATCTGTCCCAGGTGACCACATGCTTCTACCATCTCTTGCAAGAAGAGCCCTTTCCCTGTGTGGCCTCTGCCTGTGTTGCTCACTCCCGGCCCCCAGGTCTCGTATGGCCGCATCTGCTTGGCAGAAAATAGACCACGTTCAGAACGCTACCTGCAAGAGAGTCTGGGAATGTGGTTTCTGGTACTTTCAGCTCTGCAAAATAAGAAGGCATTAAAAAGTAAAAGCAGTTTGGCTTGAGCATCTGCCACATGCTGCTAGTCTCTGAGGCAGATTGGGACATCCGACCTAATGCTCAAATTCTTAGAAAATTTGAATGAAAACGAGAGTCAACATGTTTTGCACAAGAAGCCACAGCCCAGGATTTAGGATTCTCCGGTTGTAATCTGGATTCTGCCAGTGACAAGCTATGGGACCTTGTCAGTTTGTCTAACTTTAAGGGAATTACACTAGGTGTCCTCTGAAGGCTCTTCCCGTGCGATACTGCATAGTCCTATTTTTAGGTGGAGGTCTGAGGAAGGGCACTGTGGAAGGCTAAGCCTGGAAGAAGAGTGTGGTAATAACAGCAATTATCCTGTATTTTGATGGCTGTGGCAAAGTAATATTAGCTTCTGAAACCCCGAAGTGAAGAAAGCATTTTTATGGAAGATCAGTTGGAAAAAATCTTAATTTCCAGCCAGTACAGGATCTTAATATTGATGTTAGTGCTGTGGCATAAGGCACTGTGAGTCCTTTTGTGAATGGTCTGGGTCTTCCTGTCAGCTGCTCAGAGTTGGGGGGCATGCTGGGTACAGAATGGCCAAATTGAGTCTGAATAATGGTTGTGGTTTCAGTCAAGCCTAGTGAGGAATTCAGGTCGATTAGATTCAAGTTTCCCTCTCTATCGAGTGACGGTTTGTTACGTTAATTAGATAATATAGACAACAAACTTCTGTGTATATGTGGAAGAAAGACATGTTTAACCTGCTTAAGAAATAAAATATTTTTTCAGAATTTTGGTCCAATGGTTTGTATGTAGGTAGAAACTGCTAGCTGTAAGTCAATCTTATATATTCATTCTAAACTGGTTTACGTAATCTTGACCTAATTATAAAATAATATAGTCAGGTTTTATTTTTATTTTTATAAATCACAAATACTCAATTTATAAAGCCAAGTAAGTCTGGCTCTTTCCTCTGAGTTGCTGTATGCCCTTATTTGAGGGAAGTTGTTAATCCTTAAAACTTCCTGGTGTCCACCCGTATGTTAATCCCAGGCCTGAAATGTTGTTCACACTCCTCAAGATCACCCACCCTGTTCATCAATCTCAACTTCAAATGCCTTATGACTATTTAAATACTACATTCATTCTCAAAAGAAGTTTGAGAAAGTTAAAATAAAACTGTCCCAGGCCCAAAGATGATTCCAGAAGGGGACATGTTTGTGTAGTGACAGCTTTATGGGAATAAAACACCAGATGAGTAAGTTATGATATATTTGCTTAGGGCTCAGAAACTTCATTAATGCCAGGGTTTTTGTTTCTTGTTTTTTTCCATTTTCCTCAAAACTGTTTGTTATATGCATGTGTTTTGTAAAGAGGAACTTGAACCATTTTATCTAGAAATGTGTATTGCCTAGATATATTTTAACTGTTCCTGATATATTTGAGCACGACGGTAATGACAGAGAAATATTTAATTTATTCTCTAGCTGAGCACTGAGCTCTATTTTATCTATAGAGCAATAAATGCTCATCAGTAAACATTGTCCTGTAATAACAGGAGCAATTGTTAGATAGAGTGAGAAAGATTTTATTTTGCATCTGGTCAAAATGGACTGTCTGTACATTGTGTTGGAGTGGGGGACAGCCAAGCTGTCCTGCAGCTGAGCAGTTGCTCTTAGTTTATGGCCTCAATGCCAAGGAACGATGGAGAGATTACTGCCTGAAGGCTGTTTGTAATGCTTTGTGAAATAGATGAGGAGAAAACCCTGGCGACAAGAAAAAGAGCACAGGTGCATTGTGGGAGCCAGGGAAAGAGCCAGGGGCTCCTGGTGGTTGCGCAATCCCAGTGCACACTGAGAGCAACAAGTATGTCCACCTCTGACCCGCACAAGTTTCTCTCTGGGGTTAGAGAATGTCGTGCTTGTGCACTCCTGGATTGGAAGTCAGCAACTGGACCTTTTCAGGATCCCTTCCTGCAGGAATGAGAGCTGTCCTCCAGCCTCTTGCTGCTAAGATTCCACGTGCTGTTCCAGCTCAGAGTCATTGCCTCAGCACTGCCACTAAATTTTTGCTTTTCTCCTAAATGGCTTTCTTTCAGGCTGGTGGCTTTTCACTCGCCAGTACTGAATAGCAAGTGGCCAATACAATGCTGATCCTCATATTTGCAGCTGGAGGCCTCTTTAAGAAATTATCTGACTCATTTGGGTCAAATAATAGTTTCCAAGGAGATTCAGAAGAGAGGAAGTGTGATATTAACCTAACCTAGATACCAAATATTTTTTTTCTGAAATTTCTTGACAGCTGTTGCATAACCTCTTTAAATGGCATTTAGAACTCTGTGCCCCAGAAGGCATTGTTGACACTTGACTATAAACCCAAAGGACTGTTGTTTAAAATAGTTATTTGGAGAGCCCTTGTTTCCATCCAAAAATTGGAAGTGGGATATGCATTTTTGCATTGATATGTAACCATATGGGAAGGGATGTGCTGTTTCTCTAGACCCATGATTATTTTTACTACTTTGGGGATTAAGCAAGCTTTTCTGCCACCGATGCAAGACTTCAAGAATGTCCCAGTTTGTTTATGTGGACTTCAGACATGTCAGCATTCCTGCATCATTATCTGCCTGGGACCAGGCTAGCTAGAAGGAGGCAGGAAGAGACTCGGGTAAGGTTTCCTGTTATGTTTAACAGCATGATTAACTCCTCATGGTTTAAGGGCTTCTTTGTTTTGCTGTCTGTCCTCTTCAGTGAAGAAGGAAAGGGGTCTGGAGAAGAAGGGAAACCAAGTTTTGCTGTAGAAATGGAAATAGAATGATTTGTTTGCCCCACATTTGGGAGATGGGAGATAGCATGTCAATGGCGTATCGCTGACTATAATGATACTCAGCCCTGACAAGTGTGGATAATTGAAATCCACTGAGAGAGAATCCTCAAACTCACTAGATCTTTATCAGAGTTATAAAATGGTAGTGAAGTGGACTTTTTTGTCTTTAATTTCTGTTTTTATCACACTTTCTGGTGGGGTAGTTGAGAGATAAGGAAAACTAGCTTTCACTAACAGATAGCAAGATAGAGAAAATATATGGTAGATATTGGGTCATATATAAAATGGAGAGTCAGTCCCTGAATGATGGCATTAGCTATTTTGCAAGAATGATCAGTGGGTAGCTTGGGTGGATAGAAAATATTGTATAAATTTTTTTTTCCATCAGTTTTAGGGTCAACCTCTGTCATTTTATAGTGTTTTTTATGGCTGGAGGTATATGAAAAAAATGAGTGATGGGTAAAAAGGAATATCTCCATGCCTTAAAAGGAAATTATGTGAAAAATTAAGGGCTAGATTTGATCTGCCCTCCCCCTCCTTTCCTCTGCTGGATATGGCTACAATCCAGAGAAGTTTGAATTGGTCCAACAGTATAAATGGGTGTCCTTTCTATAAGAATGGAAACTAACAAAAGGCAAAATTGGGATTAAGCCTCCTTCTCTTTATGACTGTGACAGTAGATAAGAAGTGGAGAGGCGTAGGAGAGAGGGGCAGAGAATTGGTTTAAAGGATTTTGAAGGTGAGTACAAAACTGCTTGGCAGACTTGTTATTCAGCAAGAAACTGTGCCATCAAAGTAATTAAATCTTGAACACAGGGAATAGTGATTTTGGTAAATAGCTCTCCTGGAATACATTTCTTTTATTTGTTTATAATGTTATAGAGGGTGAAATTGTTAGGATTTCATGCTTGATTGTGTGATGGGAGGTTGGAGAGGTAGTCTCTGGGTTGAATCCCAGAGTTCTGGCTTGGCCAGTGGTGTGGATAGAGGTGCCATTCACCATGCTAAGGAACACAGGGGAGTGTGGGTTTGGGGGCAAGATGGAGTTTGATTTTGAATGCTTTTAGTTAGAAGAGCAAATGGAAATATCTGGTAAGTAGTTGGATGGATGAGTCTGAAACTTGGGTGAAAGATCTGGGCTGGAAGTAGAGATTTGTGAATCATCATCAGATAGATGGTATGTGAAACACGAGAATAAATGGTTTTCCAGGGAGACCACAAAGAGGGAAAAGAAGATTGAAAGATTGGCCAGAACTCTCTAACAAGGAAAGGCAGAGGAAGCCCAAGATGTAAGAGGAGAACAAAAGATTTCTTTGGATATATTGACTCCAGGGCAGAAAGAATTCCTCACTGGAAAAGGAGAGATGTTATACCTCCCATAATCTTCAAAGATCAGAATCAAAACCAGAGGCAAGGGGCTGGCCTGGTGGTGTGGTTAAGTACGCGTGCTCCGCTTTGGGGGCCCGGGGTTCGCAGGTTCAGATCCCGGGCGCGGATCTACTCACTGCTCATCAAGCCGTGCTGTGGCGGTGTCCCACATATAAAGTAGAGGAAAATGGGCACGGATGTTAGCCCAGGGCCAATCTTCCTCAGCAAAAAAGAGGAAGATTAGCAACAGATGTTAGCTTAGGGCTAATCTTCCTCAAAAAAAAAAAAAAAAAGCAGAGGCAAAAAGGGAAATTAATAGAAAGCAAAAACATACTGGGACCACTGTTGGGGAGTGGGTGCTGAGAAGCTAGAAATCAGGAAGTGGGGAGGCAGGAAGGAAGAGATGCTTGTGAGCTGCTTTTCCTCTCCTTGGGGCTAAGACAGTGCTGGGAAAGGACCATGATTCCCCAAATGCACGCCTCCGTGCCGGGAGACAGAAGGATTAGGCCTAACCAGGCATGAGTGGACCTCACTGGAGTGGCCTGCTCCGCTTCCTGGCAGGGCATGAGCTCAGTAGCAGAATGGTTACCAGGGAACCGGGTAATTGTAAAGTTCCTTTTTTTTTTTTCCCCTGTCTTTAAAAAGTCAGGTTTGCTTTTCTCTTATTTGTTGTTTATTATATTATTTTTTTGTTTATTATATTACTGTGGAATAGTTATATCTTACTTTTATGTGCTAGTCCTTTACATGTATTAGCTCACTTACTTGTCATGATAGCTCTCTGATACACTGTTTTTGTCCTTGATTTACTTATGAGGGAATTGAGACACAGATAGGTTTAGTAACTTTCCCAAAGTCACACAGCTAGTAAGTTGTGGAGTTGGAGTTTGATTTTAGGAGGTTTGGCTTGAATCCATGCTTCTAATCACCATTCTATATAACTATCCTATAATAATAATGATCATTACTATTGTTATGTAATACCTGCCAATATTTTAAAATTGGACAACATAGAAGAATCTTATCACTTGCTCATCTTTTCTTTTGGAATTTATTGGGATTTCTGTTGTCATATTTAGGACTTTATTATTGCTGAGGCACATTCTACTTTTTCTTTAAACCTGAGAGAATTTGTCTGCTCAAATTGAATCAATGGATTGTGATAAATCACCAAGGAAAAATATCATCAAAAAACTTTTTTCTGATTGCTTTTGGTTTTGGTCATAAATTTGATTTTTTGTTTTGTTTTATTTTTATTTTGTTTTTGTTTGTTTTTTTTCTTTGGGCATTTGTTGTCATCCTCATTATAAAAGATTTATAGTTCCCTCTTAAGAATTTCAGTTTAATTTATGGGTCAGGGAGTTGAGTGTGGAAAGGTTTTTATTTTTGTTAAAGCTTAAATCATTCCTCAGCAAGGTAGTAAGTTTGGGGAGAATTAATTCATTGTATCCCTAGTAGACCAGTCTCATTGCTGGTCTGCTGACACTGACAGCTGAGCAGTCCCCTTGGAGACCTGAAAGGGTTCATGGCTTTTCCACAGTGACCTAATGTACTACTCACTCCCTGGAGAACATTTGGTTTATTGAATATGTATTCCTAATGTGCTACTAATGATTGTGTTTATGGTCAGTTGATACAATCATACCTAATTATCCAAAACAGATTTGAATTATGATTTGGTGAGAAGAGAGGGTTACAGAGTTTGCCTTTAAATCATAAAATTTTAGAGTTGGAAGGAATTTTTAAGATCAAAATAGTGCAGTCACTTCAGTTTGTAGATGAAGTTATAGAATGTGCACAGGGCTTTATGAGAGCACAGACTCCTCATGTCTCTGGAGGAACGAGGCAAAGGACCAGGGAAGAGCTCCCAGCAGGAGGTGAGGCTGTGTCCTGAAATTGCAGACCAGTTTCATTTTGTGCACCAATGCCCAGCAGTTGGTAGAGCCTGTCATAATCACTTTATTGGGACAAATTTTGAGGCTCAACTTTGGCCTAGCAGGGAAGAATGCCACAGTCTCTTAGCAATATCTTCATAGGTGCCATGGGGGAAGTGGCAGCATGCTCCACGTGTTTATAATCTCTGTTTCAACGGATGAATGTTAAGCCAGGAGAATAATAGGAAGAAGACTGTTCCAGGTAGGGGGGTAGATGAGAACTTGATGGGTGGGAGCTGCTACACGGGGTTGTGCATTGCTGGGACAGGAAGGGTGAGGCAGGGAGTGGGAGAGATGAGCCTGGACAGATGCCAGAAGGCCTGGGATGCTGAGGGAAGGAACTTGGGCTTTAGCTCTTAGGGAAGAGGGAACCACTGAAGACTTTCCTGGAGCACTGTGCCACACTGAACTGCGAAAGAGGTTTGAGACTAGAAACGTGTTGATTTGAAAATGTGTTTTTAAAAACGTTCTTCTGCATTCCAGCTATAAGCCGATAGTGGAATATATTGATGCCCAATTTGAGGCCTACTTGCAAGAGGAATTGAAGATCAAACGTTCTCTCTTCAACTACCACGACACTAGGGTCCACGCATGCCTCTACTTCATTGCCCCTACTGGACATTCTCTGAAGTCCCTGGACCTGGTCACCATGAAAAAGCTGGACAGTAAGGTACTCACTGCTACTCTGGGTACCATCCACCCTCCTTTCAGATCACCTTTGTCCGAAGGCCCCAGTTTATTCTCTGCTCTCAGTGTACTTTGGTTTTTTGTTTTGTTTTATTCTAAAGACTATTTTTTTAGAGCAGTTCTAGGTTCACAGCAAAATTAAGAGGGAGATACAGAGATTTCCCATATACTCCCTGCCCCCATGCATACACAGCCTCCCCCATTATCAACATCCCCCATCAGAGTGGTACGTTTGTCCCAACTGATGAACCTACTTTGATACATCATAATCACCCAGAGTCCATAGTTTACATGAGGGTTCACTCTTGGTGTTGTGCATTCTATGGATTTAGACAAATTTATAATGACATGTATCCATCATTACAGTATCATCTAGAGTAGTTGCACTGCCCTGAAAATCCTCTGTGCTCCACCTACTCATCCCTCCCCTGCTCCCCAACCCCATAACTTGTTTTTTCTCGTTTAAGAATCATAAGGTTTAGCAATTTGAGAAAAATGCTTCAAAACCTCTTTGGATGATAGGACAAAACAAAACAAATAAACAAAACCATGTAGCTTGTTACAAAGTATTTTTAGCTCTTAAATTAGTGCCAGTGTATGCTCTGCTGAGGGTTGGGGATTATGTAGTAGACACACCTAAATGGTCATAGGAAGGGTTAAGTTTAGGGGGATTGAACTATAATTCATGATTTATTTATTTTCTGAAAAACTTTCTTTAAATCTCTCTTTGAAAGGTTTTTAGAAGTTTGGCTTTAATTTGAAGTTTAGAATGAAAAAAAAAAGTGTTAATTTTTTCTTCTGTGTAATAAGGATAGTCCAGCTTCTTAGATTTTAAAGCTGAACTGCAGTTCAAAAGAAGTGAAGTCTTAGTTTCAGTGTGACCTGAGCTTTCCACATTTATAACCTCTATTTCACAACATTTGAAGGAAGGGACTGATAAATTTGATAACATTTGGTGATCTACTTCACAATTAATTTGATTTTCCATTTTGAAATATATGAAAGACAATACATTCTGAAATAAAGAAGTGGTAAATGGCAACAAGAACAAGCACAAAATTAAGCTATGGTATTTTCTCTTCGATTCTAACCTCCTTTTGAGTTCAGTAAATAGTCTTATCATCTTGAGAGGGCTTTGCTGGTGTTATTTTCTATCCAAACAACACTGTTTAAAAGCTGCTTTCTCTCCAGAGGGACATAATAGTGAGAGAACGCTGAGAAGATCAGCCTGTCCCCAAGGCCTCTGTCTGAACGGCCCACAAAGGGCCTCCAGTGGCTGAAGCAGAGCCAGGCTCCTCGGGCTTCCAGCATGTGCAGATGCATTGGTTTACAGAAAATATTCTAACAGCCTGAAAGGATTCTTACAGCTGGAGTACTCCTGGGAGAGTAAACAGAAACCCTTCTTCATCTCCTTGGACTCAGCTGCAGTTAGCCATGGATGGTGGAGGGGTCCGGGCAGTGAGGCCAGCTCCCTGTGCCATCATGTCCAGCTCCCTGTGCTGTCATGTCCTTGAAAGCAGGGCTAGGAAGGGTGGAGGGGGGTGACCTCCTAACTGAATTGGTAGACCAAGCCAGGCTAATATCCAACAATAGGATTATGGGTAATAGGGTTGATTTAAACAGGAAAAGGAAATAGGCAAAACAAACACAGCTAATAAAAATCATCAGAAAACAGGTTAAACTGCTTTCCAAGAACTGATCTTGTTGTAGGGCTGGAGTGAGTGGTAGATAGCCTCTGAAAACATTACTGTCAAAGGTTTGTTTCTACAAGTGAAGAGTTAAGGCAAATATATGATAATTTCAGAAAGGACTTTCAAGCACCTGCCACCTAGGAAAAAGATTTTAAATCTAAATTGCTTGTTTAATCTATCTACTCTGATCAAATTGGCCAAGAGACTGTGAACCTCTGCCATTTGTCTGTCACTATTAACCAAATACTAAATGTGTACAGAAGATAGCCAATAAGAACAACAGAGATTTTTTTTTGTTCCTGAGGTCCTGCCCCAAACATTCCCTCACTGTCAGGGATGTTTTTCTGAGTCTGCAGCTTATGGAGGAAGCCCAGGCATGATGAGATTAGGAGTGAGGTTGAGGAATAGGAAGAATAGGTTTTTCTATCAGTGCGTCTTCTCATCTGGTTTATCAGGGATTTTTGATTTGGCTCTTGGGATAAAAGGAGAAGCAAAGAAATGCAGACCTGACCTGGAAAACCTCCCTGGAGCCTTGTTCTCCTCTGGCTAGGACTGCTCTCTTACTGAGTCCACTTCCTTGTCACCTGAGCTGGGTGGAGAGCATAGTTCCAGGTGTTGGATGTCAGTAGCAGCTTATCGAAACCTCTGTACCTACCAGGGAGTGGAAGAAAGTTAATCTTAAAAAATGAATTTTAAAAAATACATCCTGTGGACAGTGCTGGGGGACGTTGGGAGAAGAATGTTCCACCTTGGGATTTGGGGCTTGCGCTCAAGGCTCTTGTTCTGGGCTTTCTGCCGTTGTTGTCACATGCTGAGGTCTCCCTGGTCGCTGTGACCAATGCTCTGAAAATGAGCCTGGCCTTTGGCACTAGGTCTCCTTCTGGCATGAAGGAGTGATGTGATAGACACTGATTTTCAAAAGAATTAGTTGGTGTGATTTTGAAAAATTTAGAAGTAGGTGAAACCATTTTTGTGTTGGTTACTACTTAGGTTCTCCTCTCCTAGCAGTTTTCAGGTCATCAGAAGAAAGAGGGGATATTACCCTGCGTACAGCTGAATGTTCCACTATTCTAAGTAACAAAAACTTTGTTATTATACTGTTAGGAACATGCAAACATCAAGCTCCTAAAGGAGCGAAGAGAAGTCTAAAAGGAGTGGTTGGTTATTCAAAGCATTGGGTTCTTTGTTATCGCTATTTGTCATAGAGGAACACTTCCTTTTACTCAGTAACGAAGAATGAGGTAGCACAGAGGAGGAAATTACAAGTGTGCTTTCCGTGCCGAATGGGAGGAAGTAAAAGTGTTTGCAGATGGAACTAAAAGATTATCCCATATCTTCTTAATTTTGCATTTAGGTAGAAAGTTCAATTTCCAATGTTATCTGTATTTCTTAAGTGAAGTTTTATAATTTTCATTTGTTTGCTATGTTTTATTCATCTAATTATTTTTCTTATGTTGGACTTGTGTAAAAATGGATGTATTTGTTTTGTAGGTGAACATCATTCCAATAATTGCAAAAGCTGACACCATTGCCAAGAATGAATTGCACAAATTCAAGAGTAAGATCATGAGTGAACTAGTCAGCAATGGAGTCCAGATATATCAGTTCCCCACAGATGAAGAAACGGTGGCAGAGATTAATGCAACAATGAGTGTAAGTCCTCAAGTAAGAAAGGACCAACCAGTGACTTTCCTGAAAGCTTTTCTCAGTGGGAGCTTGTAGAGTGGCTGGGACTGGACTAGGACTCTGATAGCTTCAGTTGTCGTCCAGCTCTGCCACTACTGCAAGTCGTTTAGCCACCCTGCTCCTCAGCCTCTCCATCTATCAAATGAGAGGGTTAGACGAGATGATGTCAGACTTCCTTCCCGCTCTAACAGTTACGATTTCTATAGCAAATCTTGTGGGAAGGGAAGGCCAGCCCAGCACCATTTCACACAAAGCAGCCTAAAACTTGCTTCTGCCAACGTTGGCAGAAATATGTCCACCTGCCTCACTTTGGCTTCTGCGATTGGTTCTTGCCTTTCCCTCCTTTCTATTTCTTCGCTGTTTCCTGATTCATTAGATAAACTGGCAGTTGAGGGTATAATTTCCACATCACAGGGAGGAACTGGTCAGGGGATAAATGATTAAAGCTCCAGCAAATCTAGGTGCGTCTGTGATATAATCTGTCCGGGTGTGCCTCCATCCTGCCAGGTGATACCCGAATCTTTCCTTCTGCTCCTCTGTGAATCTCTTAGCCATGGCTCATCTCTGGGCCACAATGACTATATGTATCTTTTTTCATTTGGGAATATATAACTTCTGTAAAAGAGCATTCTCTGCACATAGTTGATGCCCAATGATGGTTTTTGGAATTCTTAAAATTGTAGGTTAGCGTCAGTGAAATGTAATTAGAAGCTATTAAATTTTGACCTTCCCTGAATACATGGCTAAAAATTGATTCCAAAGTGTGCTGGTGGCAGTGGAAGTCAGTCTAGATTTTTAAATTTGTGGTGAATTGAGGTATGTTCTACTCTTCTTAGAAGATCTGATCAGGAGAAGTTGGGTCTAATCAAGTCACTATTAAATGCACTAATGACACTTTTAAAAAATTAAAAGCTTTATTGAGATATAATTGATATACTTTATAATTCATTGGTTTTTAGTATATTCACAGAGTTGTGCAGCCTTTGCCAGAACCAATTTTAGAACATTTTCATCACCCCAAGAAGAAACCGTGTACCTTTTAGCTGTCAACTCTCTAACCATCCCAGCCGTAGGCAACAGCTAATCTACTTTCTTATCTCTATAGATTTGCCTATTCTGGACATTTAATAGAAAAGGAGTCATACTGAGGCTCATCCAGAGAATTAAATGACTTGGTCAAAGCCATCCAGTTAAAAGCAGCACTGAACTTTCAATGAGCCCACCTGGTCCCAGTCCTGTGTTTTTTGCCATCATAATTCAGGAGATCAGACTTATTCCACAAAACCACTTCTTGTTTCTTCAGTTTGGCATATGGATTTTTCTACATAGGGCTGTTATCATTTAGGGAGGAATGTCTTCCTTGAATTATGCCCATTATGACTAGGACTTTGGCAGAAAATGTAACTTTCCCCATTTCTGGGGCTATTATTGTATGTATTTAAAATTTAGGGATCTCATTAATGCAGAAACAGTCCAGCTCCACTCTGCCCTAGTTTGGTCACACTCTGAGCTTTGTGACCCATTCCAGCCTCAGGCTTCTATGGCCAGGGTAGTAAAGGCTCTGGAGTCTCTGGAAGAAACTGGAGACCGTGAGGGGGCGTGAAACGAAGGTTGTCATAAGGGAGAGTGACTAGACTTATTCAGATGACAGAACCAAAACTAATGGGCAAAAGAGCAGAGAGGGGTTTGGGGCCAGTATGAAAAGAATGTTTACCAGTTTGCACCATCGCAGTGCAACAAGCACGTTACTGATGTAGTGAGTTCCCATCATAAGTGGTTGGTGGACAACAGATTCTGTTTCAACCCACTTAGAAGAGAAGATACCGTGGAGGGAATTCCTATATGGGATCAAACTGGATAATATGTAAGATCTCTTCCGCCTCTAAATTCTCTGGTTGTAGGTATTGAGAGCTTCATAATAATAGCAGCACCTGACATTGTTGACATTGATGGGGCATTTACTATGCACCAGGCACTGTTCGAGGCTTTACATTTAATCCTCATAACAATCCCATGGGTGGGTGCTGTTACTCCTATCTCACATGTGAGGAACCTGCAGTCTAGCACTTAAGATTGCACAGCTCTCAGTAATGGAGGTGGATTTGAACCCAGGCAGTTGGGCTGTAGAGCCTTTATGCAGACTGCCCCCGGGTAGAGGAGTGTGCTTGATTGCAGCAGTGTCAAAAGCTTGGGCTGAGATGGCACTCGTTTATTCTGCTGTAGAACTGCAATTTGGGGTGTCAGGGTGGGATTCAGGAAGTCCTATGAATGGATATCATCTAATTTTCTCTTTATCTCCTTCCCCATCCTTTTAAGTCATTTTGCACGGTCATGAAACGAAATTTGTGTTCAACTTGGAAAGAAAATTCCCATGAACTTGCTCTCTTTCTCTTTGTCAGAGTAATTGAACCAAAGATCTTTGACAATCCCAAATTAATCTTGCTCTTTATCCAGAAATGTTCTTTTAAGCTCTTCATTGCAAACAATTCCTGGTGATGAAATCTCATGATATGTGGAAATCTGAGGAAAACAGACTTCATTGGCAGTTGCTCTGTCACTCAGTTTGAGTGGAGAAAGCAGTTTCCTTGGTTGTTACCCCAAAATCTTGGCCAGAAGGGTCCTATTGCTCCTCATCTTCAGGGAACACATTTCAGTTTCAGACTTAGAGTTTGCAAAAGAGAATGTGCTTTCTTTCCTTCCTACAGGGTGTGAGATGAACTGGAAAATTTAAGTACCTCGAGCATCAGACAAAATACCAGTTGGACAGCCTGGGCTGAGGGTTATGCCAAGCTCTCTGTGGGAGAGGATTTGTTTAAAACATTCCTGTCTTTCTCAACTTATCTGTAGTAGAAGAAAATTGGATCAAGGAACCCTAAACAATAATTCTCAGAGCAGCCATTCCACATCTTCTTATTCTTATATGCTAATGGAAAAAAGATGGAATTACTATTTTCCCCCCAGAATGTAGCCATAGCTGCCAAATAAACCAACATGGAATAGTCAGTTGTCTTGAACACCATCTCTGCTTGAGATAAGTCTGAGTGCAATGCTTGAGCCCATAATTTGGGCTACGGTGTATTTCCAACCTGAATTTTGTACAATGATCAACTGAATAAAGCAGTGCTAGTCAATAGAAATATAATGAGTCACAGAAGTAATTTAAAATTTTCTAGTGGCCACATTAAAAAAAGTGAAAAGAAACATGAAATTCATTTCAAGAACTTATTTAACTCGATATATCCAAAATATTATCATTTCAATGTGTAATCAATATAAAAATTATTGAGATATTTTCATAGTAAGTCTTTGAAATCCAATGTATGTTTTACAATTACAGCACATCTCAATTTGGATGCATACCCAAGTCACTCCTGTCATAGTCGAACGTTTTTCAACATGAAATAAGTACCAAAAAGATGATTTTCCTTTAATATTTGCATCCACATTGACAAAACTGGTTCTTCTTGTTTTAGAAGATTTGAGTTTGAAGCAGAGTGAAATGCAGTCCTACCAAAACAATAAAGTTATATTTACCGGAAAAATATTTTACACTGCTTCCATTTTTTAATTTAAATGTAAATTAATTAAAAGTAAATAAAATTAAAAATTCAGTTTCTTTATCCCACAAGTCCCATTTCAACTGTTCAGTAGCCACATATATTAGTGGCTACTGTGTTGGACAGCTGCCTCTAAAGCTTACTGTAGAGTTGCAAAGATTCATGCAGTTTCCCGTGAATTGAGCTCATATCAAATATTCAGTATTTGGTTTAGGCCAGGTAGGATACATGAAGCCACTCCCACTGAACTGCAGAGTCTCCTGCCTCTTCCACCCTCCCTGTTTTCTCTTGCCACTAAGTAGAGGCCTGCAGAGTGAGGAGAGTATAGAGGCGGGTGGAGAACCAGTCTTGGCTAGAGCTGGGCAAGGTAACTGCTCTCTGTCCTTGTGTTGCTTGGCAGGTCCATCTCCCGTTTGCAGTGGTCGGCAGCACCGAAGAGGTGAAGATCGGCAACAAGATGGCAAAGGCCAGGCAGTACCCGTGGGGTGTGGTGCAGGGTATGTGCGTATCCTGGGGACGGGATTCTCCACATTTAACCCCTGTGGGGACCGTCCACATTGCTTCCTCTTCCACCGCGTTTGGGGAGGTCCTCAACTGTGGGCAGGCAGTGGGAGCGAGTTGTATACCTGGCAGTCATGGGAGTGAGGAGGAAAGAAACCGTGGCCAGGTAGGTAGACAAGTGTCTGCAAATCCCTCGTGCCCGTGAGGCAGCCCCTCAAGGATGTTGGCTTGTGTGGGAAATTCAGTATAAAGTCCTGATAGAAAAGAATTGTTCCCTAGGAGTTTGAACCACTTTCAAACCAGTTTGCTCAGCAAAGTGTAAGAAAACTACAAAACGATTCTTGCAAACAAGAGGTTACCTGTTTCTCCATTATCTCTGGAAAAATTGTCTTCCAATTAAATGTTATCTTAGAAAATATCCGAGAATTATGAGACTATCTGACCTATATTTGGCACTGTGGGACATAACCACACTCTCTAACCTGAAGACACTTCCCGTATGTCACTTTGATGGGCAGGTACTCTCTTACCTTGTGTGTTCTGTGGGAGAATGTCCAGTGCCACAGATGAAGTAGGATGGCTACAGAAGGTTCCTTCATTGTTTAAGATACATCAGCCCTCCCTTTTCTTTGTTCTGAATAAAGGCAATAAGTCTGTGAGAAGTGAGAGGAAACTTTGAGACTCCTAGGAAAATTATAATTTTTATGAATCTTACCTATTTTTCTACAGTAAGAAAACTTTCTTCATAGTGTTATTGATAAAATTAAATGAATTGGTATATAAAAACTGCCTGGTAGAGTTGCAGACAGCATGCAGTAGTAGAAATAGGCCTGGCTATGGAGCCAGATGTCCTGGTGTTTGAATATAGACTCTGCCACCTCTATCTGGAAGATCAGCTTGCTTATCAAAGCCGTGTGTCTGCATCTGCAAAGCAAGAGTCACAGTGTCTACTGGGCAGAACTGTTATGAAGAGCACAGGCAATGTTTGTAAAGCTCCTCCACAGTGCCCGGCACTGAGCAGGCACTCGGCATCGCTCTCGTCGTCAGCGTTATGGTCAACGTTGTCAGACATCTTGTCTTCATTAGGAATGTAAGGTGCGTCCAGTAAAGGATCTTCTGATGGCTTTGACACCTCAGAGATTTCAGGAGCAATGGTAACAGCATCTTTAGATTTTCAGTGACGTCGTTGCTGATAGCCCTCCTCCCCCCTTTTTTTCCTCATCTCTTGCAGTTGAGAATGAAAACCATTGTGATTTTGTGAAACTTCGGGAGATGCTGATCCGCGTGAACATGGAAGATTTGCGAGAACAGACTCACACCCGCCATTATGAATTGTATCGGCGCTGTAAGCTCGAGGAGATGGGGTTCAAGGACACTGACCCTGACAGCAAGCCCTTCAGGTATGAGGGCACCTGGCCGTCAGGTGTTTCCCAGACAGTGGTGAGAGGGTGTGTTGCTGCATCACAGAAATGCTTGTTGGATTGAGATATCAGGTTGGAGGGACCTGCTGGGGGCAGATGAATAGTGTATATTGCCAGGCATTGCACTTTATTTGCATTATCTCAAGTAACCGATGTAGTTGATGTCATTATCATCATCCTCATTTTACAGATGAGGACACTAAGGCACTGAAAGTATAAACCTGCCCAGGGTTCTACAAGTAGGAAGTGATGGGGCTGAGTCTGAACCCCTGCTTTTAACCATTATACTCACAGAGGCACAGAACCTGGTCCAGGCATTTACAAAACGTGTCACTGCTTATTACAGTTTGTCTCGTTCATTTTTGCCAAATAGGTTTAACTTCCCCAGGCTCTTACTTTTGGAAGTGCTCTTACTAGCTTACAGTGGTTCAGTACAATTCAAACAACAAAGGAGTAGGAAAGGGGATAACTTGTAGAAAACTTATTATGTATTTTCCCACATCATTGATGGATGGAGATGAAGAGGCAAAATGTGAAGGGGAGAATATGTAGAATTAATGTAGAATTAGCGGCCTGGCGAAGGCGCAGGCCCTGTCAGAGCCCACGGGTGGGCGGGGCTTGGTGAGTGATGGAGGGAAGGTGGGGCTGCTGGGCCAGGGTCGCCACCTCTTGGTGCAGGAGAAGATTGCCTTGTCCAGACTGAGCCCACACAGTTTCTTAATGGAGATTTGAGTGGCAGTAACATGAGGTGTGTCTGGGCTCAGTGTTTTCCTCCTGTTTTGTGGCTAACCCTGTAACTCCCACTCTGGTGTCTAGGAGCCGGCGGGCCGTGGCGCCTGAGGCAGCCTGTGTACAGTGCAGGCGGATTCCTTCCCCCTGGGTAGGAGTTGCCGCTGGGGAGGGAGGCAACTTATTTTCTTTAGAGAGTTTAGTCTGGACTGGTCTCCTGGTATATTGCTACTGTGGAGTTCAGGGAGCGTGTGTGTATAAGGTGAAAACAAATGGAGACCCCAGACGAAGGGCTTCTGACCAAGAATCAACGTCTAGCCAAGTGTGCATCATTTACTCCTGCCTGGGGTGGGGAGGGGGTGCATCTTCAACCATATTAAACGTGGCTTTCTTGAGGCAAGGTATAGGACGCCTTTCTGTGTACGCAAGGTTAGCTAATTGAACCTTGAAAAGCATTGACCAAAAAATAGTCCCCACAAAATCAAGCCTCCTCCATGATTATTAAACCTGTGAAAATGGGTTTTGTGTGGGAGAGGCTATCTTTATTTTATCATAGGTTTTTTTTTTTTTTTTTTTTTTGATGCCTGGAGATGGAACAAAAGCAACTTCGGTGAAATTGAGCTCGTTCGCCCCTCTCCCTCAGTCAGATGCAGGCAGTGTTGAAGAGCACTGGGCAAAGAGTCAGGAGTCTGGGTCCAAGTCTTGACTCTGCTACTACTCAACTCCTTACCCTCTGTGGGTCTCAGTTTCTTCATCTGTAAGATGAGCAGCTGGCCCAGATCAGGGGACAGATCTAGTAAAAGAATTTTTTCTATAATGGGCCAGTGAGTAAATATTTTAGGCTCTGCGGGCCATGTGGTCTCCGTCACAACTACTTGATTCTGCCCTTGTAGTGTGAAAGCAGTCAGAGACCATAAGATAAATTAATGGGTGTGGCTGCGTTCCAATAAAACTGGTTACAAAAACAGGTGGGGGCCAGATTTAGCCCTCAGGCTGTAATTTGCTGCCCCTGGACTAGATTATAACTTGGAGCCTGAGAACTGCCTGCAAAAGTTAGGATGCCTATGGCTGTTGCTTAAGTTTGTTAGAGGTAATTTACCTCCCCAAATGTGAAGAGCCATTCAGTACAGCTCCGTTCTTTTTAGCCATGGAATCTGGAGTCTGTCCTGCATCCTCTTAGCCACCTTCCACATCTCGACCAGGGCTCCTCGGGTTCCCTGGGAACCCGGGGATGGTGAGGATTTCCTGTAGCTGCGGACATGCAGCCTCCTCTGCTGTCTCTGTTTTTGGCATTTTAATTAAAATACTTTCTGCAAGCCCAAGGCAACTGCCCACCAGGAGGAGACAGTGTTGTGTAGGTCCAGCATGGCTTCTGCAAGGCCTGGCAGAGCTGGGTCCAGCCCATTCTCTGGCCTTCCTATCTTCAGGGGGCTTCAGGGTGGTGGCAGATGTTGTTGAGGCCTCCTGACTTGTCGACAACATGCTTTATGCACGAGTCTCCTCCTCTCCATTTGCATTTGATTCCATTTCTACTGGACTGAGGTTTCCTTTTCAATGATGAAAAGGGGGGAAATATATATTATAAAACCAAGGCCTTTACTCTTTTCTCTATATAAGAAAATAAGTAGAGAAAAGTAAACCTTCTAAAAATAAAATACCTTCTATCATCTCAGTTACTGAGAACACTGGAAATAGTTTCTCCTCATAGAAATCTACTCATTCAACCGCAGGTGTCCCTCTTGGAGCAAGCAGGGTCATTTGGAACATAAAAGTTGGCTTTGAATCATATGTCTTGCCAAATAGGAAGGTGAAATGAACTTGGTATTCTTTTTCTTGGAAACCACTACTTTACAAAGGGCTCAGCCTTTCCTTTGAGGAGTTCCCCGCATCCCCAGTGCTTCTGTGAGCCTGAGCCCATGCTGGGGGAGTAGTTCTGTGAGGGGACCCTGCCTGAAGGATGGCACAACTAAGGAAAAGCAAAAGCCACGGCTGATTTGAGTGATTTCTCAGAATTTTGTCTTTAAAGTCATCATTCCTGGTTGTTCTTAGAAGATTTTTTTTTCCATATGAATTTAGGGTGAGCTTGGAGGAATAGAAATGAAGGACTTAAGGTTTTTTATATTCTCAAAGTAGAGGATCCCTGTGTGGGTGAACAGTGCAGTCCAACCTTCCCTCTGAACACCCCGTGTCCACCATTTGCCCTCGAGGCCCCACTTGTGTTTATACCAGGTGTTTATAAAGCACAGAGTGACCTCTAATGCCAGGGCTAGTAAGTTGCAGCCATCACCTGAATATTTTACACAGCATGAAACAAAACCAGGAGCTGGGCGAGCACAGTAGCAGGCTGTGTTTAAGCCTTGGAAGTACACTGTAGACAGTAAAGCTGTCTGACCCTAGTGTCCTTAAACCTGCCTAAATTCAGAGTTGTGTCTTTCTCGTCTTGTGGCAGAATATAGATATAGGTATATCTATATCTATCTACATAGATATAGATAGATCTATAGATATATCTATAGATATACCTATCCATCCATCCATCCATCTCTCTGTCTACATAGATGTCTCCAGGTGTCGACCTGCTTTTCCTCATGCCCATCTTTCCCACCTGCTGCCCTGCAGTCTTGGAGCTCATGCTTCAGCCCAACCAGAGCACCATGCCTTCCCTGGACCAGGTCCCCTCCCCACAGACCTCAGCCCCTTTCTGGCTGGCGTTTGGGGTAGAAGAGGGGAGGGGATGTAGGACACGAGTAGGGACTGATCTTATTTCCGCTTCTTTCTCCTGAGACACCACTGTCCTTTTCCCAACAGTCCCTGTCTGAACTGCTCCTTCCTCATCTCAGAATACCCCCCTCTCCTTGACTCTACCTGTCAGGTCACACAAAGTGCTCAGTTACCACTATTCTCTCAAGAGATCACAAAGTTTTCAGGCACGTGAGATCCTTTCATTCTGAGGAGCATGTAGGCCTCAGTTCACCAGCCATGTGGTGCAGTGGGTAGAGCTCCCATCTGAGCTAAGCGGCCTGGGTGCAAATCCCAGCTCTGTCACTTCTTTGTTGTGTCACCTGGACAGATCACTAAACACCTCTGTGCCAAGTTTCTCCATCTATAAAATGGGAGGTGATAATAATACCTACCTCACTGGGTTGTTGTAAGGATTAATGCATTCACCTGTGTAAATCGCTGCATACACACCAGTGATGGGTTGTACTCTGGCATGCCCTTCACTAGGCGGTTCCAGGAGACTGTAACATGGAGAGAATTGTGCTGTGTCAATTACCAGAATGAAGGATGAACTGAAATCTCTGTCTCCATTCTCCCTTCCCTTGACCTCCATGAGCAAAACCTACCTCTACCGAGGGCTAAGAGAAAATGAGAAGATAAAATCCTCATTTTCAAACCAACCTAAAACCTCATGAAAGAATTACACATTTCTCACTTAGAAAAGGGTGTTAATAACTACAATTAAAAATTAAGTTGGAAGAGCTAAAAATTGCAAAAGATGTCACCACTTGAGGTATCCGTGAGTGGATGATACAGAACCAGTTCCTTCTCGAGTGGTTCTTACTGACTGGGAGCACGAGGGAGAGTTTCCGGTGTCTCATCTACAGCTCAGTCGGCAGAGGTGCCTGGGGAATAGGATTCTGTGAAAGCTGCGGTTGTTCTAAGTTATTTCTGAGTAACTTACTGTAGTTGTGACTCCTTGGAGTAAGGTCTTACGATTTCTTTCTTATATGTTGTTATCATTTCCAACGTCAGAGTTCAAAAGCTGGTTCATATCCTAGGATACAGTGATCTAATAGTAGTATTTGTTGAGCCCATTTTCCTGTTCTGGCACAGGCTGTCAAAACTGCCACCAGACTCCTAGCTAAGGCCATCTGGCCAGGGGCAACCTTGCTCCTTAGTCTTTCTCTAGGACACGGCCTTTCCAACTTTGGGCTGCAACCTTCACTATAAAATATGTCTCGGTATGATCCAGTGTACACATTTCATGAAGTAATACCTGCTAATACCTGCTCTTATGGTTTGCATTGCACTCTGGTATTTTCTCTCCTATTAAACTTTTTCTTTTAACATATGGTTAAGACTCTCAATTGGGTCCTGACCTGTAGTTTGAAAATATATCTCCAGAAACTGGAGCATAAGCTAGGTTGTGGCTGGGACTGGATCAGGCAGAGTCATCTTGAGAGTTCTCAGTATTCTGGGTAGCATTATCCAAAGTACATTCTCTCTGTGGGTGACTTGCCATGAGTAAACCACTGCTGTCTTAAATGCTCTAAGTTAATCAACTTAAACAGGTTCTTTTACTAAGGACTTCTTAGAGCATTTAAGACAGCAGTGGTTGGCAAACTAATTACATCAAATCACCTGGGAAGCATTTAAAAAAATACAGATTATTTTGCCTCAGGCTGACATCCTACATTAGCATCTCCAGGAGTGGAGTTAGGAAACTGTTAGAAAAGTCCAATAAAACATGCCCAGGCGGTCCTGGGGTGCTGCCGGGGTTGGGACCGCTGTGCACTGAGACTCTCCTAAAGGGACGTCGCGCCCAGTGCTCCCATTTACTCCTTCAACTTGGGAACCCTCTTTTGAAGGTCTCTTGAAACCACTGATCTCTGGAACACGTAGTGTTTCTATAAAAGGTGCTCCACTGCATGTTAGAAAGAAGAGGGAGATGTATTCGTTATCCTAAAATCAACAAAAACTGAGTTTCCCCCAAAATTTCATAGCAAGGACAAGTCATCTTCTGCCTTTGGCAATTCTGACCCAGATAATGGTGACTCAGAGTTTATTAGAAGCTAACAAGCAAAATCAAATTCATGAATTATTTTATAGTTCTGTTATCAATGCCTTTCTATATCTCCATGGTATATATCTTGAATTTCAAGTTCAGATATTGCTATTAACATTAGCTAACATTAACATTGGCCAAAATTGTTTTTGTTTCATAAGATAATGTGAAAGCTAAATATACCCCTGGAAATTCAAAATACACAATTGTTCATTAACAGGTAGGTGTTGACACTCTTGAGGGCAGGAGAACTTATTTTTAATCAACCAATAAAAGTGTTGATATAGAAGTATAAACAATCCTAATTAATACATTTTCTAATTGTTTAGTCTTCTGTATGTCTACACGCACGTGTGCTCTCACCACCTGAATGTCCTTTTTCTCCTTCTAAAAGGACAAGTGTGGGGCCAGCCCCAGTGGCCTAGTACTTAAGTTCGGCACTCTCCACTTTGGTGGCCCGGGTTTGGTTCCCTGAGTGCGGACCTACACCACTCATTTATCAGTGGCCATGCTGTGGTGGCGGCTCACACACAAATATAGAGGAGGATTGGCAACAGATGTTTGCTCAGGGTGAATCTTCCTCAGCAAAAAAGAGGAAGATTGACAACAGATGTTAGCTCAGGGCGAATCTTCCTCAGCAAAAATAAATAAATAAAAATAAAAGGACAAGGGTAAATGCCAGCAGGTATCTCTGCCTGGTGCCTGGGGTCATCCTCAGGTGCTATCCAGTTTGGAGTCAGTGCTTTGGGTGAATTTGGTCCATGGGTAAAGGTGGATAATCCTGCAGACTTGTGTTACGGTAACAACTCTTGTTCTAGGAAAACTACTGAGAGGAAATAGACATAGCACCTTATAAAACATCAGCAAATATTTCTGTTTGTATGTGTGTGGGTGTGCTTTTTCTTAAGTTATGTTACCAAAGGCGATTTTTCGGTAAATACATTTGTTATGACTTAGAGATAAAGCCGAGTCTGGCATTTGATTTAAAATATTGGGCTCTAAGTTCTGTAGACAGTTAGGAGGAGGATGGGGTTTAAAATAAAAATAAAACTCCTCCCTGCTGTATAACTTGAAAAGTAGCAATTTTCTATAATATCTTTAGATATACTATTGTCTCTTTAGATGGTTCACTGAGTCTGTTTTCTAAACTGGGAACTGGAGGGAGATGAGTGGGGGGATGTCATATTTGTTGCGTCCTGACGGTATGTTGAATGGTCTACTCACGTTGCCCCCATTTAATTTCCATAATGATATCCCTAGAAGGTAAGTGCTGCTGTATCCATGTGTTAAACAGAGAGCACTGAGGCTTAGAGGCTGTGCCCTTCCCAAGATCAGTCAGTCAGTTGCTGTGGCCAGAATCCAAACCCTGATTTGCCTGACTCTAATGCCTATTGCGTTTCTCCCCCTACACCATCCTACCTCCATCTTCTAAAACTCTAAACCATATCTTATTTGCTGATCTGGAAGATACCGGCCAGCCCAGTCCAGGCTTTCCCTGTATGAGTATATGTAGGATAAAGCTTGGCCAGTAAGAGACATACCTTTAGTGTTGCCTTGCCTCACTGACTCATCTCTGGTTCTTGATGCACTTGTCTTTGTAATTGCCGCATAATGAAAAAGAAGATGGTGCCATTTTATGTGTCTTTTAATATGGTAAGTGGCAGCCTTATCTCTTTTTTGGAAGTGGATAGGTAGAAATTATATGAAGTGAAATTTCTTATTATTTATTGCAACTTCACGATACTGTCCTTGGTTTGTGGCTTTTGAATAGTCTTCAGGAGACATACGAAGCAAAAAGGAATGAATTTCTGGGAGAACTTCAGAAGAAAGAAGAAGAGATGAGACAAATGTTTGTTATGAGAGTGAAAGAGAAAGAAGCTGAACTTAAAGAGGCAGAGAAGGAGGTAAGCCATCTGTCCTCCTTCAAGGGGGAGAGACAGTGAGGTGTTTTATTAATACTTGACATTGTATAGGACTCCATGCTGTTCTAAGTACTTTCTGCATATATTTTGTCATGTGAGTGGCATACTAACCTGGTAGGGAAAGTAGGTCAGATATTCCTCTCCCCATTTTACGGATGATAAAACTGAGGGTCATACAGGTTAAGCGATTTATGCAGTCACATACCCAAGTTAATAGCAAAGCTGAAACTAAAACTAGGTCTTAGGTCTCCAGACCTGATCTCATGTTTTTTGTGGCTCTGTATTTCCTCAGTTTACAAGTCATGAAACATAATTCTGTGACTTTTATTATTATCTTGGTCTATCAGCCAACTCGCAGCTAAACAGTGGTGGGGCCTCTAGCACTATCTGATGTATGATGGTCTCCACACCCATGTCTGTGCTGTTGCTGGCCCCTCTGTGGGCATGCTCTCCCTGTCCCAGGGTCCCTCTGACTCCCTCTCACTCCCCATGCCCAGGCCAAATGAACTGCTTCCTAGAAGTTCACATGGATTTCTGCTATGGCACTCATCCCAATGAGAGAGAGAGTGTGTGTGTGAGTAATGTTTGCCTCTGATAGTAGGATGATGAGTATCTTAAGTGCCTGACCTATAGCTCAGTACATTTCCAAATGAAATTGTGTAAATAATCTCATCATCCCCATTTAATTTATCTTCATAAAGACTACTGAAATTTAGAGGTTACTTAAATAGCTAAGCATTCAACATAGTTTTGCTGCAGAGAAGGGAAAGTTGAGCCTTATTTGCTGTTGGCTTTAAGGACCAAGTGGGTGCTGGGTAAAAATCTAGAATTATCCAGTAAGAATTGTTGCCTTCCTCCCTCCCTCCCTTCCAGTTTTTGTTTCTGCATTGTGATAATTTTTTAAATTTAATTTGTCAAAGGCCAGAAATTTCAGAACATATTCTTATTGTTTGAATAGTGTAGTCACTGCATATGTCTCTAAGTAAATGTACGTTATACATTTCAAAAAAGGACCAGAAGTAAAGACCTACTCTTACCATTAGGGTGCATTTCTTATTAGGAGCATGGATAATTTTTATTTTCTTCTTTATGCTTTTTACAATGAATATGTATTTTATTATCAGAAAAACTGTACAAGGATTCTCTTTAGTCCCAAGGGGTCTAAGTTTCAAAGGAGTGTACAGCTCCAAGGGATGCTCTTTGCCATCTCAGCCTGCCTCCTCCAGGAGCACCAGGCGGTACTTCACTGATGTAATTTAAGTGCGTGTGGCAATATGAGACGTTTTGCTTTTGAACAGATCCCAATAACCTTTCACCAGTAAACTTTTCATTCCCTTCTCCAAGCCTGTCCTCCTCTTTTTCTCTCCAGCTCCACGAGAAGTTTGACCTCCTAAAGCGGACACACCAAGAAGAGAAGAAGAAAGTGGAAGACAAGAAGAAGGAGCTGGAGGAGGAAGTGAACAATTTCCAGAAGAAGAAAGCAGCAGCTCAGTTACTACAGTCTCAAGCCCAGCAGTCTGGGGCCCAGCAAACCAAGAAAGACAAGGATAAGAAAAAGTAAGCAGGTGTCACCCCCTGTACCGGGGCCCTCTAACAATTTATTCCTCTTGCATGTCTCTACTTCTCCCATTTACAGACTGGAAACTGGTCTATTACCAGAAATATAAAAGCAAGTATTTTCTTTACAGTGCAGGGAAGATGATAAAGGTTTTTAAAGTATTTCTAAAGGGTACACAAACATTAATTTATAAAACTTGACCACACGATCAAGCAATCAGGACTGGAGTAACGTGTTCTCCAGTAGCATCTCTGCACCAACACTAGGACTCTCGAGAAGACAGTTTATTTCTCTTCACTTCTCTCTGGAGACAATCCTCATGACTCTGATAAAGAGCATCCTAACATTATGATTGTTAAAATTATTTTTCTATTCTGTGTTGTAAGGCTTGATAAGCCAGTCATTGAAAGTCTTGTTCCCCAAATGAAAGATTTAGAAGAACTGCTAGTGGCCACTAGTTTTCCTCTAAATTCAACAAGATGATGAATGGTTTTATTGTGAAAATGGGATCAGAATGCCCTTGCAGTTAAGACATCCCCACCAACCCTCAGGACACACCTATACCCACACAAAAAACATTTTTAAATATGGCCTTGATTTAATGTGCCAAAGGGTCAGGTTCTGCTTTTGAGTTGTTCACTTCCTATGATCCTCCAGTAGCAGCCGCCTGAATCCAGTGGGAGATTTGGGCCTTCCTTAAAATTCTCCTGTGATTTGAAGCTCATGTCAAATCACATTAAAGATTGGAGAGTGTAGTTTTAAGACAGTTGCTCTTGGTTGACAGTAAGCACAGTGGTCAGGAAGATCCCTTTGAGGAAAACCTGTGTGGTGGCTGGATGGCGAACCCACCAATGCTGCCCTCCTTTGTCCATTGAACACGTGCTGCTCTTAAGGCAGCAATAAGGCAACTCAGCATGTGTTTCAGGACTCCTGCTCTTCATCCTTAGATGCTAAGGTTCTAGGGAAAAAACTGACAACTAAGTAAACAATAAAAATGTTGGTACTTGGGTAGGCAAAGAATTACATTCTTAAAAAATCCAGCAGATAGGATTGAGTCTGCACAGTAATTGAGACCCGTCATAGGGGAGTGAGACGATGGTGGCGTTCACTTAGTCTTGGTGAACATGCAGACTCGCCCCTGAGGAACCTTGTTATGTTGCCTGTGGTAGAAATCAAAATGCACTGCTACAGTGACATACACAGAGAGTTTTAAACTATACTTTACAAGCTTTGACTTTCCAAGCTCTGAGGCAGCAGAAAATGTGTCAAGAGAGCAAGGGAGCAAGCACATTTTCTAAGCAATAGAAAGTAGTTGGTGTAGGTGAGGTGTGATTTTAATGGGATTGATACAAACCTAAGTGATCAAAGGACACTATTTATACTGGATTGATTCTGAGTAACAACTGCCTAGATTATAATCCAGTTTAAGAAAGCCCTTTGTAGCTACATGTCTTGGGAGAGCATCGGTCACTAATGGTGACGTTCTCCATGCAGAGATTTGGTGATTACAGTGACTCTTTCAGTGAAGACAAAATGAAAGCCATTTGACATCATACCCTTGTTGATCCAGACTAACCCAAGATAAAAACAGGGTGTGTGTGTGTGTGTGTCTATATCTACAGGCATGAATGAAACAGAAAAAGCTGCTGATTCACAGCTTAGGAAACCCAAAGTCAAGTTTTTCTTACCCTGAAGTGCTAAAGTGCATAAAGGTACATGTTTTAGAACTAAAATTATTTATAGAAGACCAGCAGTGTTTCAAGGATATTCATGTATACTGCTTGTGCCTTTAAGCAATAAAAATTCCAAGAGCTGATCAATGCTGTGCCTACATTAAAAAAAGTCTTTCTAGTAACAGACTTCCCAGTGTAGGGAGGTTTTTCCTTGCCCTTTTGAACATTTTAGGTTATTTTCTTCCCAGCCTTGGGCCTTAGCAATGTATAATGCTTTTCACGTTTATGTGAAGTATGTGTGAATTCTATTTTAGCCTTATTTATACATTCTCATTTATTATGAATGAAATTAGACTTAATTTGGTGCACAGTAGTTACCAGGTTTTGTGCCTGACCGTGGCACGTAATTTTTTGGTAACTTCTTCTGGGTTCTTACCCTTTGCCACACTTTCCCATTTGAACAGTGAAAGCAACTGCCAGTGCTGTATAGTGAAGTGTAAAAGTAAAAAAAAAAATCACTCCCCTTCCTGCCAGTGGAGAGTTTTGGTTAGAGAGGACCACAGAAAGACAGTAACCAGGGTAACCAGAGCAGCACTTTGAAAATATGTGGAGATTCTTTGCGCCTCGTGGAGCTGGAGGAGATGCTGGAGTCGCCATACGTGCCACTTAGGAGCTGGCTTTGTTGTGGGAAGATGCTTATTTATGCACATGCTGTGCTTCCACCTCAGAGCTTAATTTAGTTTTTCTAATAGTTTTAAATTCTGTTTTTTCTATTCTAATGACACGCTCCCTTTTTAACGTAGGTAAGGCTTTATACTTCTCCTTGACCTGTAGTGGCATGAGAGCATATAACATTTGCTAAGATTACAAAGTAGAACTAACCCTGGCACTGCCATTAGCTGGACCCTACCTCCTGCCATCTCTGGCCACCAAGTCACTTTCCTTGTTTGCGGCTACACCACAAACACCACAGTGGTGGGACTGCCGAGGGTAAGTTGTTCAGTGGACAGTGTTCATCTTTTCTGAAAACTTTGCACCATTGCCAGCAGGATGCATCCATCCCAAAAGCAAGTTTGAAAATCCATCATTTTAAAACTGTACTGGCATCTGATAACTACAGTTGACACAATCATCCACTCATCTTTTTTTTTTTTTTTTTTTAAATTTGATTCTTGCTAAGGAATGAAGTTGCATGTTTTCGACTTGCCTAAAATTAGGACATGTCGACCTTGGGTTTGGCATTGCTTTGTACCTAAAAGAGGGGGAAGGCTCCTGGCATTGCTGTAGCTGTAACCATATAATGATTGTCTTTTTTTCCTTCCCAAGTAGATTAATAGCATGTCCACCATCCACTATATTCTAATTTCCAAGTTAATTGTTCAAAGACATTTATTGTATATTTATTCTCTGACTCCAGCAGCTCAGAAATGGAAGATGCAGCTCCCATTCAGTACTGATGTGATGCCCAAATCTAATAGAGAATGGTTTTGTGTTAATTGAGAAAATGAAAATTGAACAGTAAATCCTTCCACTAGAACATGTAGTGGTTTCAAGAAGTCACTCGTGAATTCTAAATTACATGCAAATGGAAACTAACCACGTGTTCTTTAATTCAGTATTAAAATTTTGCTTTTGCTTGTCACGTAGAATAGCTTACTCAAATTTTTGGTTTTAATTTCTGTCAATTCCATAATCATTGCATGAGCATTCACCATCACCGAATGCTGGTGCTGGCGCTCCTAATTTTCCTTTCTTTTTTATTTATTATTATTTCTAACTTTTTTGTTTTGTTTTTTAACTTGCAGTGCAAGCTTCACATAAAGCCTGGCAAGCCAAGGATGGTCCGCATTCACCTGCTTTTGCAGTAGTATTGTATCTCTGCCATTTGTGTCCTTTTATTTTTATTTTTTTACCCTTCCCCAGACACCAATAACTATTAACTCATTTTGCTGAATGTTGTTGGGTAGTGGAAAATCATAGAACAAGGGAATAACAGCAAATCTATGTGCAGCTGGACTTTGTTTCTGGAAAGTAAATGATTTGCCTTTTATGCCTGTTCAGAGCGGCAGCAGGAAGCATGCCTGTGACTTGTGTGTTGCTTTGGACTGAGGGAAAGAGGGTAAATTGCTACATGTACGCCTGACAGGAAAAGTCCTCACTGCCTCAGCGGCTGAACTATAAACCTGAATAGCCTGACAACAACTTGCTTTTCTTTATTATGCATCTCCATGATGGCGAAAGCCCTGAACTCACGCTGTCTCTTCTCCACACCTGCTCCCAACCAAGGTAGCTTTGTCCGTAGGCAGAATGGGGGGTAAGCTTTATATGACTTTTACACTTGCATGGATTTTTCATTATTATGATAACATTATTTGGCCTGGGTTGCGGGTCTGTTCAGACTGACCGTCTCCTCTCTTATGACTTTAAAAATGTATCTGAACCTCTGTCTCTCAAATCCTGGCCAAGTTGGGCTGTAATAGGAAAACTATGATTATGTTCACTTTTATCCGGGCAACCTTGATCCTCTCAGATAGCCATCTCAAAGGTTGGATCATACAACATTGCTTAGTAGAAGAATCTTCTACTAAGGATGATGGGCTTTCCACAACCTACTTACTACTTAGAATAAGCAGTCTTTCATAAGCACACCTATGCTCTCCATGGGCTGAGCGTGAGGCCCTAATGACTGATTCTAGGATATCAGTACTTCTAATAATGTTTTTCAATAATCATGAGGAGAAAATTTTAAGAAATACTTAACTAGAAATTTTGTTATAAACTCTGTATCACCTGTAGCACAAATTTGAGGGGACTTTGTCAATTTAAGGTAGAAACGGGAAGGAACATAACACAAACCCATGAGTCAAGAAAGTAGAAATTCAGCTTCACATCCAGTGTCCTTGCATAATCTCCTTTCGATATTTGGCAGTAAAGGGAGGAAGAAATAGAACAGTTTGTCTTTCAAATTTAGGTGTCTTGAAGGAATTTCCTCACATTTCCCTCACCATGACTTGCTCCCACCTGCTCTTCATGTCTAAGGCCTATCACCCCCTCAACGAGGACTAGGACTAACCCATACGCCAGGACACAGATTACACGCCAATTTGTATAGAAAAGGGCATATTTAATCTCTTTTCTGTACTATTTCTTTGTTAGCTTATCCTTTCATCTTCTTGAATTTTTCCCTCTACTAACGAGATCCCCCCGCTTTCTCTCTAACTCTGTGGTCTCCTGTTTCTTACTTAAAAGAATAACATTTCTCATGAACGCAGTACTTCGCCTCTGCATTTTCCTTCTGACCTTCACTAGTCAGACATTAATAGGGTAGGAGGCACTGTACCTCCCCTGACACACACACACACCTTTTTTTTTTTTTAATTTTTATTAATAAGTCTCTAGTTATTCCAGTAAAGATTTATTTTTTTCCTTCTTTTCTTCCTCAACCATACTCTTAGGGGAAAGGAGGAGTGAGTGGTCTTCCATGAACTGATTTAAGCTTACTTAGACAAAGTAAGAAATCAATTTCATTGAAGCCCATTCTAAGCTGGGATAGAAACTGCAAACTAGAAGCAGCAGTAGTGGTATAAAGACAGGTTTAGGAGCTACTGGACCAATGTTTTTGTTTTTTCAATATTAGTCTGAAGCTAGCTATGGAGCAGCCGAATATTAGATGGCATGCTGATGCTAACCGTGGGCTGAATTTGCTCATACACTGTGCACCAGACAAAAGCTTGAATACTTGTGTTGTCTGCTTGTTCCAACCACTGCTTGTGTGAGCATTTTTGTGCCTTGTAATAGAAAATACACTTTTAAATTCTAAAACTGCATTGCTTTAAAATGATCATTTTTAATGCATCACTAAAGCCTTTTTAAAGTGAGCCTAGCTGTGAAAGGCATTCAGCTGACTTTTTGATTCCAAGATCATTGATTGATTGGATTGATTTTTTTTTTTTCTTCCCATTAAATTTTTCACAGCAAAAGAAATCATATGGAGTCAGGGAATAAAAAGTCAAAAGAAACATATAGAAGCCTTTTTTTTTTTCAATGTGTTGCTTCTGAACTTTTTTCTACCCCTGCCCCCAGCACTGTTTGGTTTGTTATTGCTGCCCTTCTCTTCTTTCTGTATCTGTGCCTTTTTTCACAGTAGTCCTTGGCTCTGCACGGAATAAATGATACCCTCAAATCTAATTGGATGTGCTTTCGCCTTTGCATGTAAGTATGGTAGTAAGAAACCTTTGAGATCTTTCTGACTTTTTAAAATTAGAGAAGCAAATGGGATAAATGGATTTTTTTTTTTTTTTTTCTTTTTGGAGGGGCGTAGGGAGGTAATGGTTTGAGTAGCCTTTGTTTTAAAAAAAAAAGCTAAATATATTTTAAATGGCCACCTTTATATCTTTTTCACAAGAAACACATAAATTCAACTTTTCCTTGATATTGATATGGAAGTCAGAAATTACTAATCCCAGTCTGTGTTCTACACAGCATCGTGGGTATTACAGAGGGTCCTTGGTTCTGACTATGTAAATAAAGCTAGAATGAGAAACTATTACCTTCCACTGGAGAAAATCAAGAGGAAAATATTTTTTGTGCTAGGCTGCCTTTATGACTGCTTAATTTTTGGGTGATCTTGGTTTAATGGTGTCTCCCTCGTGCTAACTGCTAGCAGCAAATCACCTTTTTTTTTTGCCAGAGAGCTCTAGCTGGCCTTTCCCCACATCTTTTGTTCAACCATAATCACCAACTTTTTGCTTCTTCTCAACTTTGTAGATACCCATAACAGTTGTATATGTGGTAGGATGTGATGGAAAAACATTTATGAGAATTTATTGGCAATTCAGAGACTGTGTTTTCCCAGCTTAGGCTCTTTATTAATTGGTCAAGGTTTTGTCCAGAAAGAGCATCTCAACCAGGGGAACATTTAACATGACACTGGGCACAAGTTACTTATTATCTTCCTTCTCTGCTTTGTAATCTCACCAGCAATAACACTTACTCTTTATATCTTGTACACCTCAAACGAATAGACTTGGTTTCCTCACTTCCTTGGCATATCCATAAGTGTTTCACATACAAACTTGAATTAGGTTTTTCAGCTATTACCAACCCATGTCATACTGTCTCTGTGTGGTCCTACCAAAACTGTCCATTCAGATCCCTTTGCTTTGCCATTTGCAAGTGTCTGAAATTGTCAAGTCTCAGCTTCCAGAAGTCTTGGTTCCATTGATAGGATACGTATGTGATGACTCTTTAGTGGAAATTATGACCTACGATGTCTAGATTGTATGTAGGTATGAAGGGAATTTTTTAAATAAATTGAAAATGAAGCTGTGAACAGCATTAGAACTTTGTCTATTTCTTAATTTTAAAATATGCTGATATGCCTTAAACTGTAGTTGTAGATCGTTGTCATTTTGCTGTTTGAAAATAACCAGCGTGTTTCTAAAACTGTTATGTAATCTACTTTCAGTGTTAATGCAGAATTGTCATATATGTAAGCTGCATGTTAGACACTTGTCTTTTTTTAAAAACTAAAATAATTGTACTGATGTGAAGCATATCATTTTTTCAAGTATGAAAGTAATCACTTAGCAAAAAACCTGCTTGGTAATTTGGTGTCTGTTAAGGTAGGAGAGTGGTGGACAGGTAATCTATGCATATATCACTAGTGCCAAGACATAAAGTGGGGGAAAATATATTTTTACCCAAACATTGTGTGCCCTTTTGTGAGTTCTTTTTAGTCACTGTTTGCTATGCATATGTACACATGCTTATTATTACTGGATAGATGAAATACGGGTCCCATTTTCCTACCTTGTCTGGTGGACTTCAGATGCTACCATCTGGGTAGCACCAACTTCTCCAAGATACTTGCCGTGTGGTATCATGTACTTCACATGCATACCATCTCTGCCACCATTTCTTCCCCATTCCTATCCCCTTCTGCCCTGATTAGTGTCCCCTGGCGCCCCTCTGTCCCTTGGCCCAGCTGAGGCATCCTCCTTTTCCCCAGCCTCTGGTGCCAACACTGCTGCTGCTGCATTGCCACCCCCCGCCCCCACCACTGTGCTCAAGGAGTCATCCCTTTAACTGACACATTGCTGTTCTCTCAGTTTGTTGTAGAGAAGCTCCTATTTTTTTTTCTTTTTTAAGCCTTTAAGAATCAAATTTGAATCTGAACCTTTCTTTTTTCTCTTCTGTAGCTTCTTCTTTATGTAACCATCCTGTTGACAAGCCCTACTCTCTCCTAATGGACATAGAGCATTAGAAGAGCAGGAGCTGTCTGTTCACACGTGTTGGGGAAGAGTTACCTCACTTCCACCATCGCCTCCTATTCTTTTAAAGTCTGGGTCAAATATTGCACTGCTGTTTGTACTTGTTGATGTCTGTTTACAAACCACTGCCCATAGTGGTTACTAAAGTGACTTATCACTACCAAAAACAGTAACACTTAATACTACTACTTAAAAGGAAATTGAGTGCAACAGAGAACTTGGGCCAAGACCCAAGGTAGCCATATGTTGGGATTCTCTTGCTTAGCTGTCATGTTCTTGAAGCTGCTGATCCAAGAACTCACGGACTGAAGAGAGTATATACCCTAATCTGAGGTGGCCACCACCTCCAGGGTCCACAAATTTGATCTCATGTTAACTCCAGACCTCTCTGTCCCATGAGCGACATTCTGAACAACCCCATCTGGACCCTCAACCATCAATCAGGTCATAAGATCTGGGCCACATTTTCCTTCCTTTTGTTACTTTTATGGGTTGCTTTTGAGTTTGGGATTTTTTTTTAACATTTGATATTGCATGAACAGAGATGGCTGCTTTTTTATTTGGAGTGTTCTACTGATACAATGTTTTTATTTTTCAGCTGACCATCTGCCTCTTGAGAGAGAGAAGTGGGCATCCTTCCTTTAAATTCAGGAACCATTGTTTTATTTGACTATTTTTCTGTTACCTGCATCCCTGAAATAAGTTGTTTTGGGTTTGGGATTCTATTTTGGAAAAAAAAATTGCCAGTTAGCTAGTTCTGTAGTACGTATTGGTTATTCAAACTTAGTTTGGTATCAAAATTATGCCAGTTTTAAGCTCAAAGGGAAATTTAAGTGAAGTTTAAGTCACAGAATTCTGTTTAAGATGCTCTCCTCATCTCCGATACAACAAAAAAAATCCCTTTGCTGTCAACTGGGGTTTTAACCTAAAAGTCTTTATGGTGTTTAAAATGTGCCAGTGGTTGGGTAGATGACCTTTCTGCCTCTGGGACTCAATATTTAAAGGTACCTTAAAATAATTTTCTGGCCCATCCCTGCCTTTTTATTTCTTGTGAAACTCTGCTTTACCTTATGTCCAGAGTTTTTATATCCTGGACCATGGGAAACAAACCCCAAACAAGTACATATCCTGTCCCAGACAACAGCATCATTGACAATGGTTCTGATTCACATTGTCTTCTCAGTTACCCAGGTGGCTTTCTCCACTATGTCTGCAAAAAAATCTGCTGGAAATAACTTAAAATACACCCACATACACACACACTTCTGCTAGCCGAGTCTGTGATTTCTAATGCTGACTTGTTTGTGATGGTCTAGATTAATTTATTAGCAGTCACCTCTTAGGGGCAGTTTTCATAGTCAAGGGACAATTTGCAAACTCATTTCTATTTTAGAGCATGAACATGCATTTTAAGTTACCTTTTAAATTTCATTACTTGTCTATAGTCTGCTTTTGCCATCATTTTCCAGCCCGATAGTGGGTAAGATCATAAAAACACTATTGGTGACATGAGTTGCATTTGGTGAAGATCCTTAGGAGTGATCCCCTCTATTTAAGAATGGTAACATATGCTTCTGTTGAAAGGTGAAATGATGAAGCAACAGTCCTTGCCTCTTGAATCATTTGATTCTAGGAAAGAGGTTAGAGCAATTGGATGAGCATGCTGACAAGAGGCTTTCTTTACTTAGAAAGACACTATTATTAAATGCAATCAAGTCAGATTCATCTGAGCCACTAAATGATCAAAATATAAGAGTTAAGGGGCCGGCCCCGTGGCTTAGCAGTTAAGTGCGCACGCTCTGCTACTGGCGGCCCGGGTTTGCATCCCAGGCGCGCACCCATGCACCACTTCTCCGGCCATGCTAAGGCCGCATCCCACATACAGCAACTAGAAGGATGTGCAACTATGACATACAACTATCTACTGGGGCTTTGGGGAAAAAAAAAAAAAGGAGGAAGACTGGCAATAGATGTTAGCTCAGAGCTGGTCTTCCTCAGCAAAGAGAGGAGGGTTAGCATGGATGTTAGCTCAGGGCTGATCTTCCTAACAAAAAAAAAAAAAATTATAAGAGTTAAGAGCCATCCCTTCCATACTACACTATAACCTGTAAGACTAAAGATCTGCTAGTGACGTGACCAGTGTTTGGGGGGGTTGATGGGTGGGTACCAACTCCTTAACTGATGCCAGAGCATGACATATCATGAGTTTTGTAAGTTCAACACAAGCATCCTATTGTGTGCAACCATGGTAATCACTAAGGACACTAACAGGATTTATTTTTAAATTATTTTTAATATTTTAACATCAACTTCGACTACCCTATCAGTCATTTTAAAAACAAATTTTGCATCAAGTTGTCAAGACATCTTTTATGCAATATTTAAACATCAAATTAGGCAGTACTATTTTAAGTAGGGAAATGTGTAGTGTACTATTGCTATTTCCTTTTTTTTGGTCCCTTTTTAGTCCTTAGGTTATAGGAAGTGTAAGAGCAATCATCTTAATGGGAAGGGGTGGAGGAACAGGCTATTGTAAGTAGGTTGGCTTCTGTTCAGTTACCCAGGGAAAGCTGATCATGGACACCACTGGTCAAGTGCACTGCCATCTATCTCTCCATTGACTTGGCATTTTACTTCAGGTGGTTCCTTTTTCTTAAACGGTGATAAAACTAGTAGGTTCTCAAGTTCTCCTGGCTGACCAACTAAGAAAGATATGAAACCATCCCAGTGCTAATTATCATCAATAAGAACAATTATTTGCTTATCCCTAGCTAGATTATGGAAAAGCAAGAATTGAGCCATCTGAACCTATTTCCATTGGTAACAGGGTTTTTCATTCGATCTATAAAAAATATTACTTGAGGGCCGGCTCCGTGGCTTAGCGGTTAAGTGCGCGCGCTCTGATGCTGGCGGCCCGGGTTCGGATCCCGGGAGCGCCCCGAGGCACCACTTCTCCGTCCAACGTGAGGCCGGGTCCCACGTACAGCAACTAGAAGGATGTGAACCTATGACATACAACTATCTACTGGGGCTTTGGGGGGAAAAAACTGAATAAATAAAATCTTTAAAAAAAAAAAATATTACTTGATTTCAGATGCAGACTGCCTTATTGCTACAAGTGTAGTCTAAGCCTAGATGGTCTACTTGAGATTGGCACAGCATGTATATAAAGGAGAGATCCCATCTTAATCAGTATGCACTGAGCTGGGGCAGATAAAATTAGGTCCTCTTCCCAATATGCTTAGCCAAACTTATTTTTCCCATCAACTGTACCTATCAAATGAAACTTCCTTCTTAGTTGTGTTAGTTATGTTTTTTGCCTATCATTGGCCCAGCTTATGGGTAAACAAACAGTGCTGGGTATTTGAAAAACTAAGTACATAATTTTCACTGTATTTATGTTTCTACACAAAACCTTTTGCTTTGCAGATGACTGTCATCTTTCTACCCCAGAACACCAGGGATGCCCTCTCCCTGGATGATTGTGAGAACATCTGGCACAGTATCTTCTCTTCTCAGTTGAAAATGTACAAACTACCTTAAGATGAAGTAACAAGTTCCCCACCATGTTGGCTGAGCATCAATGGCTGAATCACACTTTAAGTGAAAGGCCACTGTGCTGCTCTGGGCAGTAATGCTCAAGCACAACTTACTTTCTTGTTTCAGGAACTCCAGAATGAGTTAATTAGAAAGCTTGAAAATCCAAGTATGTAAAGAGTACAGAGGACACACACAGGTGTTGGTTCTAACAGAGGAGAAAAGGAATAATACCTCTTGGGGGGCAGACACTAATGTCTTAATTCCCTCAAAACTGGGAATTACTAGGCTCAGATTCTCATCAGCTTGGGTGAGTGAAGAGCTACGTTCCAGTTTCCTTCAGAACCAAAGGCACAGTGTCAGGAACATTTCTGACAAATTGGTTATATCTGATTTTTGGGAGGACTCCCCCCTCCTAGCCTTCCCTTCCCCCTCCACACTAATATAAGACATCTTTCAGAGAAAAAACATTCAGTTCTCCAGATTGCAACTTCATACCAATCTTGCCGAGTGAAGTAAACATTTAGCTTCTCCCAGTCTGATCTTCAAGAGCTAGAGCATGTACTTGCACTTTTTCTGTTGAATGCAGGATTAGAGAATAACTAATTTATGCCCATGAAGTTTACTTCCTTGCCTCTGCGGAGGCTTCATGGAACCATAGGTTTTCCGACCACCAGGAGGCACCACAGAATTATGATCCATGAAGCTCAAGTTTCCAAATCTTAGAAGAGAATAGT